CAGGACATACCTGTTGGAACGGTCGAGACTGGTGTTTCAGCCGCTTAAAGAGCGGAATTACCACGTCTTCTACCAGCTGGTAGCCGGTGCGTCGGACGAGGAGCGGGAAGAGCTGTCCTTGAAGTCGGTCGAAGAGTTCAGCTACCTCAACCAAGGCAGTGCGCCTGTGATTGAAGGTATGGACGATGTGGCTGAGTTCAAGGCTACAAGGCAGTCCTTAACCAAAATTGGTGTGGCCCCGGAAACTCAAGCCGGCATCTGGCGCCTGCTAGCGGCCCTGCTGCACATGGGAGACATCAAGATTACAGCAACTCGGACAGACTCAAATCTCTCGCCGGACGAGCCCTCTCTCGTCAAGGCTTGTTCACTGCTAGGAATAGACGCAAACACCTTTGCCAAGTGGATTGTAAAGAAGCAGCTCATTACTAGAGGAGAGAAGATCGTTTCCAACTTGACGCAACAGCAGGCCATCGTGGTGCGGGATTCCGTTGCCAAGTTTATCTATTCAAGTTTGTTCGACTGGCTGGTCGAGCGAACAAACGAGAGTTTGGCCACTGAGGAGGTTATTTCGCACGCCCACACCTTTATTGGTGTCCTTGATATCTACGGTTTCGAGCATTTCGCAAAGAACTCTTTCGAGCAGTTCTGTATCAACTACGCTAATGAGAAGTTGCAACAAGAATTTAACGCTCACGTTTTCAAGCTGGAGCAGGAGGAGTACATGCGGGAAAAGATCGACTGGACTTTTATCGACTTCGCCGACAACCAGCCATGTATCGACCTCATTGAAGGCAAGCTGGGTATCTTGTCTCTATTAGACGAAGAATCACGTTTGCCCATGGGTTCAGATGAGCAATTTGTTACTAAGCTGCACCACAACTACTCTGGAGATAAGCACAAGTTCTACAAGAAGCCTCGGTTTGGCAAGTCGTCCTTCACTGTCTGCCATTACGCCATCGATGTCACATACGAATCCGATGGCTTCATCGAGAAGAACAGAGATACCGTGCCCGATGAGCACATGGAGGTTCTCAAGGCTGCGAGCAACAAGTTCTTGACCCAAGTTTTGGATGTTGCTGCGTCTATCCGAGAGAAGGAGAACGCTACCAATGCCTCTTCTAAGCCGGGCACTGCCATGTCGGCTGGACGAAGGATGGCGACCAACCGCAAGCCAACGCTCGGTGGCATCTTCAAGTCTTCTCTTATCGAACTCATGCAGACTATCAACTCAACCGACGTTCACTATATTAGATGTATCAAGCCCAACGAGGCCAAGGCTGCCTGGCAGTTCGACGGACCCATGGTTCTCAGTCAGTTGCGCGCCTGTGGTGTCCTTGAAACAGTCAGGATCAGTTGCGCTGGTTACCCTACACGATGGACTTACGAAGAGTTCGCCCTACGTTACTACATGTTAGTCAGATCCGCTGAATGGACGCCCGAAATCCGAAACATGGCCACGGCCATCTTGAAGAAAGCACTAGGATCTGGCAAGAACGATGGCACCGACAAGTACCAGATGGGTTTGACAAAGATCTTCTTCCGTGCCGGTATGCTTGCTTTCCTTGAGAACTTGCGTACAGCTAGGCTCAACGATGCGGCCGTTATGATTCAGAAGAACCTCCGAGCCAAATACTACCGCCGCATCTACCTCGAGATGCGCGAGGCTGTTATTCTTGTGCAATCGTTGGCTAGGGGCTACATGACCAGGGAACAGGCCGAAGAGGCTAGGCAGGTCAAGGCTGCGACCACCATCCAGAGAGTTTGGCGTGGTAGCAAAGACCGCAAGCGCTTCCTTGTTGTTCGAAACTCGCTCATCAAGTTTGAGGCTGCCGCAAAGGGATTCCTTCTCCGCAAGAACATGCTGGACAAGAGGCTTGGAGATGCTGCTCGTATGATCCAACGGAACTGGCGCAAACAAAGATACATCCGCGCATACAAGAAGGAGATCAACGACATCATCACCGTCCAGAAGCTCTGGAGGGGAAGGAAGGCCCGCAGGGAATACAAGGTCCTTCGCGCCGAATCTCGCGACCTCAAGAACATCTCTTACAAGCTAGAGAACAAGGTCGTAGAACTCACCCAGAACCTCGGTACGATGAGAGAGCAAAACAAGTCGCTCAAGTCACAAGTGGAGAACTACGAGAGCCAGATCAAGTCGTACAAAGAACGCAGTCGTACACTCGAGAACCGCCAGAAGGAACTTCAAGCCGAAGCCAACCAGGCTGGTATCACCGCTGCCAAGCTCAGCCAGATGGAGGACGAATACAAGAAACTGCAGACAAGCTACGAAGAGAGCACCGCAAAGATGCGACACCTACAGGAGGAAGAGAAGGAACTCCGTGCGTCGCTTAAGAGGACCACGGACGACCTGGAGCAATCTAAGAGGAGGAGCAATGTTACCGAGACCGAAAAGATGACGCTTCGCCAACAGCTCGCCGAATTGCAAGAGCAGGTCGAACTGATGAAGCGATCTGGCCCGATCGCCGACTTGACCAACGGTCACTCCACCTCTGTAGCCCCCAGCAGCTTGATCAAGCTCGTCTCATCGAAGAAGCCAAAGAGGCGCAGCGCCGGACCCGATACCCGCGATATCAACCGCTTCAGCGAACAGTACAACCCACGGCCAGTCTCGATGGCTCCTGGTTCCACTATCCACAGACAGAACCTTTCCGGCTCAACCTTTGCTCAGCTCGATAATGTCGAGCTTGAGCTTGAGAACATCCTTGCCGAAGAGGATATGTTGAACGATGAGGTTACCCTGGGGTTGATCAAGAACCTGAAGATTCCATCGCCCACTACCACACCCCCACCCACCGACAAGGAGGTGCTCTTCCCTGCCTACCTCATCAACCTTGTCACCTCAGAGATGTGGAACAACGGCTTCGTCAAGGAGTCGGAGCGCTTCCTCGCAAACGTCATGCAGTCGATCCAACAAGAGGTCATGCAGCACGATGCGGAAGATGCGATCAACCCAGGCGCTTTCTGGTTGTCAAATGTACACGAGATGCTGTCGTTCGTCTTCCTCGCTGAGGACTGGTACGAGCAACAAAAGACCGATAACTACGAGTACGACCGATTATTGGAGATTGTCAAGCATGATCTTGAGAGTCTCGAGTTCAACATCTACCACACCTGGATGAAGGTCCTGAAGAAGAAGTTGCACAAGATGATCATTCCTGCTATCATCGAGTCGCAATCGCTACCTGGCTTCGTCACCAACGAGAGCAACCGTTTCCTCGGAAAACTGCTTCAGGGCAGCAACACCCCTGCCTACAGCATGGACAACTTACTCACCCTGCTCAATAGCGTTTACAAGGCGATGAAGGCTTACTACCTCGAAGACTCTATCATCACACAGTGTGTCACTGAGTTGCTGAGGTTAGTGGGTGTCACTGCTTTCAACGACTTGCTCATGCGCCGTAACTTCCTCTCATGGAAGCGAGGTCTGCAGATCAACTACAACATCACCCGTATCGAAGAGTGGTGCAAGTCGCATGACATGCCTGAGGGTACACTACAGCTTGAGCATCTGATGCAAGCTACCAAGCTGCTTCAGCTGAAGAAGGCTACCTTGAACGACATTGAGATCATTCAGGACATCTGCTGGATGTTGAGTCCAAATCAGATCCAAAAGCTGCTGAACCAGTACTTGGTAGCCGACTACGAACAGCCCATCAACGGCGAGATCATGAAGGCTGTCGCGTCGCGAGTGACAGAGAAGAGCGACGTCCTGTTGCTCACAGCAGTCGATATGGAGGACAGTGGTCCGTACGAAATCGCAGAACCGCGAGTCATCACAGCACTCGAGACATACACACCCTCTTGTAAGTATTTCCCTTCAACAATTTATCGCCTAATCGGAACACGTCTAATACGCACAACAGGGCTGCAAACACCCCGCCTCAAGCGTCTTGCTGAAATCGTCTCTCAACAAGCCATCGCGCAACAAGAGAAGCTCGAGTTCGACGACGACATGCCCAACGGCCAAAGCAACGGCGACGCCATGAACGCCTTGACCGGCGGAATGGGTATCAACGGCAACGGCATGAACGGACATGGTACGATTGAAGAAGGTATTGAGGCATGAACTTTAGCATCTTTGTGAGCGATGAGCGAAAAATTTGGTACTAGACATGACACGAGACAATGAGAACGAAAGGGGAAACTAAGCGCCCACAAGATGATAGACCAAACCAATTGCTTGTTAGGTGTAGTAGAGCAGCTGTTTCTTCGATTTCTGTTCTAGTCGCGGGACTTCTGGGAGGGGGATGGAAGGTGTGTCTGCGCCAAACTACTACACTTTTTCTGCAATTGCGGGAGGGGGATCAAAGGCGCACGACGCATGATGATGTTGGGTATTTAATGCTGAGCGGTTTTTCTGGGAATTCTATATCTTTTTTAACTTGTCTTATATGTGTTTATCGTTGTGTATGGGTGTTGATGTGCCGTGGCGATTGGGTGGAGATCTGGTTGCAAGGACATAGTATTCACTTTGGAACGGTGTGTGGAGGTAAGTCTTGTGTCTGCCTCCAGATTGGTTGGGTATACCGGCGCTGGTGGCGAGGATGTCAGACCATTGCTAGTGAACTTTCAAACATTACAAAGACTTTAGACCTGAAGAATACATGAGTATCTAGTATAAGTAGCCGAATCTGGTAGGTCTCCTCTACCAGTTGTTCATCGAAAGCGGGTTAATGAGATGAACACATGAAACTCCTGAATGAGCCCGCTCTTTTCAACATCTTACAATTGAAGATAGAGCGTTACATTCGGTTTCCTTTCTTTGGTTCTACTATGAGCAAGTTCAGTGGACCCTGATAATAGGCTCTTTCAGGCAACAGCGGCTAGTCCCACCTTACACGTGTGAAAGGTTGACCCTGGAACTACTCATCGGCGCTCCCTGGCTCACTTCATCCTGCTTCCTCGCTTGGTATAGATACAATTGCAACTTTACCTGCTCACCGACAGTGTTCGCGAAATTCCAGGGAATCCAAGAGAGGATGTTCTCGAAAAGAGAGAAGCTTCGATGCCCGACTGGTTCGCCATCCACAGACCCTGACAACGTATACGAAGACGACGCTAAACTCCTCAAAGCTGCGCTACCAAATGCTGTGGACTTAGAGAGGGTTTGGTTGTGGGTACACAAGGAGGATATGATGAGCTGCACAGTGCCCGAAGCTGGAACAGCTGAAGACTACATCAACGCTCTCGCCAGCACCGACTACGTGAACGAGTCTTTCCTCATCAAGATTTTCACACGATTAAGCAACTACTTCTACCCCCCATACCTATTGGCTCCTATAACGGTTACCGTTACTTCGTCCATCCATGCATGAGAATACTGGGACCCGATGGAGATCAAGTCAACTGGGATGACCCACGTGAATTCGCCAACGAGCCGATCATTGCGGACAGTTTAGTAAGACAGAAGATTGAATACTAGGACGCAGAAGCTAAGCGCGCTGATATGTCAGGACATTCGCATTCTAATGGCTCCAGCGACGAGAGCACTTTAGTCAACGGTACCACCAGATTCGCATGCATCCAAATGAGAAAAAGCTACGCAGCTGACGAGAAGCACTTCTCAGACAATGGCAAGCTAACCAAAGGGAAGAAGGTCGAGGGAACCATCTGGGTAGAGACAGATTGGGTCATGGTGGTTATCATCGGAGAAGATAGCACAGCCGGCACTGTCTGGCTGCTACAGAACTTCGAGCCTGGAGACGAGAACACGGGCTGTACGTACTTTATCAAGGAACCAGATACCAGTGCATGGGGCTACTTCGAGTACGAGAAGGAGATGCGTCTACGGCTGCAGTAACGCGCTGCCGTCAAGATTGCAGACAAGGTCACTGACCTCTCCAAGACTACTCAGTGAACTATGAATAAGTACATCACGGGAAACTAACAGATAGTACAGGCAGTATTTGTGCACCGTACTGAGGGTCAGTCGCCTGTTATCATTAGGCAGCCGCCAAGGTCGAGTACGACTTCACGCCAGACGTGCCAAGTATCCGTATTGAGGACTGAGGGGACGAGGGATGGTGCTAGAGACTGCTAGAAGAGTCAGCAATCAGGCTTTCCATACATGTTTTGGTCCCGGGGACTGCCTCCAAACTTAGCAATGGCTGCCGAGTTTTCCTTGTGTTCATAGATCTCCTTTTGTTCTCGGGTTTGTTTGCCTGGTTTCTTGCGATGCATAGAAGAGACAATCAATGTGCTTTTGACACCGTCGGATAATGCTGCGCTGTGCGGAGACCTGGCTCATGGAGACTGTGTTCGTGGAGATAAGGAGTTTGACACTGCGTACCAACAAAGATGAGACAACAAAAGCAAATAAAGATGACAAACACGCGAACCATAAGAACTCGACGACTGTCGGCGCAAGCTGCGCCGAACCACACGTTCGGGGGTGCGCCACACGGCCCGCTCAGTCTAGTACGCTAGCTATACTTGGCCGCCGTTTGGCCCTTCCCACGATCCCGACATCCGGAATCATCTCGACAAGCGACACGGCCAAGCCATGGAGCTGACGACAACGTCTCCTCTCCTTTGCACGCCCTCTCCTCGCATTCCTCCAGGCTAGACTCCGATAAAAGAGGAGAGATAAATACCAACTTCCTTTCGCTCCCTAGGAATCCATTCCCTTTACCATTGCTTTTTTATACTTCTTCGTTATCTCATACGTTGTTGCATTGAGCGTGCATTGTTCTGGTTGACTGATTACTTGGCTCGACCCTGCATATTGCGAACGTAATACGAAACCCGAACCACAGAATACGGCTTACCCCAATGCGCCCTTCCACGTTTACCTAAACTCCGAGAAACGACCTTGAGAGAAGCGCACGCGACTGCGTCCACGTTGTTGTCAAAAGGTGCTAGGACGAGGCTTGAATCAGGGGAAGACAAGATGCCGTCTGTTGCGCAATGGCAGGGTACACCTTCAGTCAAGGGCGCGACTGAGAGCATACGCATGGCTTTGCTCACAGCATCGCTGATAGGCTTGCAGTAAATCAATCCTCGCCCAGGATTTTCTACCTGTGTCCTGTACTAAGCAACATGTAGATTCACATGGAACGTCGAAATGACATACTGCACACCCTACCTCCTCGAACTCGGTCTTACGAAATCGAAAATCTCCCTCGTTTGGGTCGCCGGTCCCCTCTCAGGCCTCATCATGCAGCCCATCGTCGGCGTCGTCGCGGATCGTTCTACCTCTCGCTGGGGCCGCCGGAGACCCTTTATGTTCTTTGGCACGATACTAGTAGCCATGTTCTTGTTGCTGCTTGGCTGGACGAAGGAGGTGGTTAGGTACTTTATAAAAGACGAGGCTGCGGCTAAGAGCGCAACGATATACGTGGCTGTGTTTAGTATATATGGAATTGATTTCGCGATCAATGCTGTACAGGGGAGTTGTAGAGGCCTGGTCGTGGATACGCTGCCTATTTCGAAACAACAGATGGGCAGTAGTTGGGCGAGTAGGATGGTTGCGGTCGGGAGCTTGATTGGGTATGGGGCGGGAGCGATTGATCTGAGGAGTGTGTTTGGACCTATGTTGGGAGACACGCAGTTCAAGCAGTTGACGGGTGTTGCGGCGTTGACGCTGTGCTTGGCGATTGGAACGACGAGTTGGGCTGTCACTGAAAGAGTGCTTATTAATGATGGAGCTGAGGAGGGCAAGGAGCTGGATCTCAAGCAAGTCCTCGGTACTATCGCGCATACTGCTCTGAATCTGCCCAGAAGTATCCAAGCCATCTGCACTGTTCAGTTCTGGGCTTGGATTGGTATGTCAAAGTCGTATTTTTGCTATGGACCGTGAACTAACAAATGTCTAGGCTGGTTTCCTTTCCTCTTCTACAGCACGACCTGGGTTGGCGAGGTATACCTACGGTATGACGCGCCGGCTGAAGTCAAAGCATCAAGTGATCTTACGGGCAAGGTTGGTCGCATTGGCTCAACGGCCCTTATTGCCTTTTCCATTATTACATTCGTAATGTCTGTCCTCCTGCCTTTCTTCGTTCAGAGTCCCGACGACGACGACAAAGGCCCTGGCTTCTCCCACCCGCCAAAGCGCCTAACTGGGCTAGAGAAATACAAACCTAGCCTACTTACAGCGTGGACAACGGCGCATTGTATCTTCGCAGGAAGCATGATCATGGCACCCTTTGTAAGGAGTCTGAGGCATGCGACTATCATCATCGCTTGCTGTGGCATGTAAGCAACCATTATCCTTGGATCAAAATCAGAAACCCAACCTGACACAATACAGATCATGGTCCGTAGCCTGCTGGGCTCCCTTCGCCTTCCTCGGCGTAGAAATCAACCGTCTCAACACTTCGACCTCGCACTCCTCGCACCCGAAGCGCTCCTCCATCGACCTTCCCGAAGCCCAATCCAACCTTGAAAAGGGTGCCGCATCTTCCTCTAGCGGCGGAGCAAGCTCAGGCCAGTACCTCGGCATCATGAACCTATACACGACGCTACCACAATTCATGGGCACAGGGATATCATGGGTAGTGTTTTCCATCCTAGAGCCCGGGAAAAGTCCCGAGTTGAGTGAGGCGCCGCCTGAAGAACATCACAACACGGATGGGCCGAATGCGATTGCGGTTTGTTTGTTCATTGGGGCTTGTTCGGCGTGTATGGCAGTTGTTGCTACGAGGAGGTTGGGGAGGATACAGGGAAGACTGTAGACGGGAAAGACGTGGATGCCAGAATAGCCTAAAAACCATCCTCGTCATGTCCATGTCAAATGTTTTCATCTTCTTGTCATGTTCTTTCCATGGCCTCGTGCGTCATGTTGAGTCACTTGCACATTGTTTGCCGCTTCTAAACGTGTTTAAAGTTCTCTTTGAACAGTCGTTACTACCGGGAATACGGCGGTTGTGTCGCATAGGCCGCTAATCGCCAGCAGAGAACATGACTCTTGATGACACCCACCCCCAACATGCTCACGTCCGTGGTTGCCATTGCCGCTTTCCGCTTTTGGGTTTAGGCAGATGCGATGGGGCCAGAGAGATTTTGCTAAGGGTTTGCTAAGGATTTTCCCAAGACCCGCTTTGTTCTAGAAGGCAGGTGTGGCTACTAATCGAAGCTGACGCTGATCGGGTGTGTGTAGAGATGGTATCTGTTGCAGCGGCGGTATACAGTGGCTAGGTAGGGCGCATGCATGGTGCTTCTTAGTGCAATCACGTTCAGCTGAGGATGGTGACAATGTTCAGTCGGGTGCGTCTTCCGGCCGGCTATTGGCCAATTCGGAGGAAGAGTCTCATCAACCAATGCATCAGACAACATGCACTCCCCCAAGCACTTCTCCAAGTACCGGCGGCCAAGGTCGGCCATGGCTCTTGGTGCAGGGCAGTCGACGTGGTAGACTACTGCGCGCACAAGCAAGTGAGGTATCGCCGCCAGATAAACTTGAATCGCTCGTTTGCTGAAAGTCGGAGAGATGCAAGCAAGGGCACACGTGCCATGCGTCTGGCAAAAGACGGTCAAGGATACAAATAGCACGACGCCCGCCTCTTCCGTGAGCGTTGTATCCTCCTCATCCACGGCAGTGTCTGTTACCTGGTCGCGAAGTCCTTGTTCGTTGCATTTTGCACTAGCCTGCAACTAGCCATATAGAGGGGCGAAAACAACCTTGCGTAGCGCCTGTCCTTCTCGCTCAACCCGCCGAACAATTCTGCGGCTCACCCACAACACCCACCTTTCGCCCAACAACTCGCCACTTGCAGACCGACATCACTAATTCGCCAAGATGTCTGAGCCGATCCGCAATAAGAAGATGGATTCCATATCCGCCCCGTAAGTCGCTTCCCTCTCGTCCGCCACACAATTTTGTCCCGAAAAACACGACGACAACAAGACCCCAACATGGACGTACCGCATTCTAACGTGCGCCCTGCTAGCACCCCTCAGAACACACCCGCAAATGCTGCCCCCATATCGTCGCGCGCTCAGCAGCCCGGCGTCAGCAGCATCAAGGAAGGTATGTCGCAATCTCGCAGTCTTGTGCCCCTCCAACCCCGCCTTGTATTCTCGTCAAGGCCTTGACCGCTAACTCGATTTTTCCTGCAGAGGAACTAGAGCGCACCGCCGCTGGACTCTTCGCTGCCAACCCCGCTCTCGTCGCCATGATGCAAAACAAGCTCGGCTCGCTCGTCGGTCGCTCAAGCGGCTACATTGAGTCCCTTCCTGCCTCGGTCCGCCGCCGTGTTGCCGGCCTCAAGGGCGTCCAGAAGGAGCACTCCAAGCTCGAGGCTGAGTTCCAAGAGGAGGTCCTGCAGCTGGAGAAGAAGTACTTCGCCAAGTTCACACCGCTATACCAGACCCGTGCCAAGATTGTCAACGGCAACGAGGAGCCCTCAGAAGACCAGGTCAAGGTCGGCGAGCAGCAAGATGAGGACGACGACGACGACGAGGACCAGCCCGAGCCTGAGCTCAACAAGGACGAGGGCAAGGACGTCAAGGGTATTCCAGAGTTCTGGCTCAGCGCCATGAAGAACCAGATTTCGCTTGCCGAGATGATCACAGACCGCGACGAGGCTGCTCTGAAGCACCTGACTGACATCCGCATGGAGTACCTCGACCGCCCCGGTTTCCGCCTAATCTTCGAGTTTGAGGAGAATGAATTCTTCACCAACAAGACCATCACCAAGACCTACTTCTACCAAGAGGAGAACGGCTACGGAGGTGACTTCATCTACGACCACGCCGAGGGTGACAAGGTCGACTGGAAGGCAGGCAAGGACCTGACTGTCCGCATTGAGAGCAAGAAGCAGAGGAACAAGAGTGAGTTTTCAATTACTTGCCACGAAGCGAATAGCAAACTAACAACATCCAGACACCAAGCAGACTCGCGTCGTTAAGAAGACCGTGCCCACAGAGTCGTTCTTCAACTTCTTCGACCCACCCAAGCCCCCACAAGACGAGGACGATGCCACTTCTGATATTGAGGAGCGTCTCGAACTCGACTACCAGCTCGGTGAGGACATCAAGGAGAAGCTTATCCCCCGTGCCATTGACTGGTTCACCGGCGAGGCTCTTCAATACGAGAACATTGAGGACTTTGACGAGGGCGAGTTTGAGGATGAGGACGATGAGGATGAGGATGAGCTCAGCGATGACCGTGACGAAGAGGAGGAGTCAGATGACGAGGTAAGCAGCCACGCCCACTTTACCAACTACAGTCATCTAACACAGCACCAGAACGACGGCACAAAACCAAAGCAGGAAGCTGCTGAGTGCAAGCAGAGCTAAATGCTCGATAAAAAAAGTAATCTCGCACTCCCAAGATCACAATATCCCCAGGTCGTTCTGAGCGGCATGTTCAGTCCAAGCTAGCTCCTAGCCGCCTTCCGTCACACTGAGATGTCTTTTTAAACGACTCTCCACGTCCGATATTTCACTTCACGATTTCTTACTCGGCGTAATACTGCATCAAAAGAGTTCAGGGGTGTTCGTTCGGCAATGGTTGGTTGGAGCTTCCTCTGGACTAGATATCTTAAGAACTACTCAGTTCTCTACCCTCCCCCCACCACTTCTTCTCACCCCTCCAGACTTCTGCCCAAACAAGTTCCTGGGCTCTTACAACCAACGATCGCTAGCATGTAAGGCGTTGTCTAGGTGGGGTTTTGCAGCATGTTTTCCTTGGTTCAGGGATGTTTATGTTTACGAGGTATTTTAGACGGCATAGGTAGTCTTGAGCGCATGTCACGGATCAATGAAAAGAAAAGTTTGAAGCCTCACTTTTTGGTAGTAGCTAGCATAACCTGCTCATGATCTAGATGTATTGTTGGTCAACCTCAGTACAGGTGTGAGACAACGCTCGCCTCATTCCGCATATCTAGCCAACCACATATGTGTTTGAAGAGCGATGTCATACATGCTGTGCTTACATACGTATCCTTGCACCTGTCGTCTTACTTCAGATGTCATGCGTTTGCTTTACCTTGGGGGGCCATGTCAGGGACAAGTAGTGCGGGGTAGTGGGGGTTACGCCGGGTGAAGTTCGGGCGCTCAAAAAATAATTCTGGAATGCGACAGGTATCCAACGCGACGAGAGCCCTTGAACGGTACACAACACTCTACCACTTACACGCCCAAAAAAAACCACTTCGATTGCCCTCTGATATATCCTGTCGTATCTGAAAACAGATCCAACATCGAGAGCCTATACAGCAACGACTTGCGTAACCTACCACACTCACTACGGCCTGCCTGCCTGCTACGCGACCGAGACCGACTTTGCGACAAGAGTCTACAACGAGAAACATGGCGCGCCAAAACCCAAACATTGTCATCACGGGTACACCTGGAGTAGGAAAGACGACACATGCTGAGCAATTAGCGCAAGCAACAGGGTTCAAACACGTTTCTGTGAATCAGATTGTCAAGGACGAGGGGTTCCATGAGGGCAAAGATGAGGAGACGGGGAGTTGGATTGTGGATGAAGACAAGGTATGCATACTCCCCCAAACATTCCCACTCCAAAAACATCCACCAACTGCGCATCACTAACATTTCCAACCCGCAGCTACTCGACCACCTAGAATCTCTCCCGCTAGCCAGCACAGGTGGCTATATCCTCGACTGGCACGCGTGCGATCTCTTCCCCGAACGCTGGATTGACCTCGTCATCGTGCTGCGCTGCGACTCGACACTTCTATACGATCGCCTTACCGCAAGAGGTTACAAGGGAAAGAAGTTAGAGGAGAACATGGATAGCGAGATTATGCAGGTCTTGCTCGATGAGGCGAGGGAGAGCTACAAGGAGGAGATTGTGGTGGAGCTCAGGAGTGAGAGTAATGAAGATGTTGAGGGGAACTTAGAGAGGGTGGAACAGTGGATTGCGCAGTGGAGGAAGGATAGGCAAGAGGGGGATGAGTAGGTGGTGTTGGGAATACTGAGAAGCGAAGAGAAGAGGGATATGACATGATGTGATATGATACCAACTGGGAGGGTTATGGACGAGTGCAGAATTCTACATCTCAACCCCTTCCGTCTACCCTAAACGCAATAGCAATACAAAATGCTCTTTCTACGCCTCAACGTTCTTACTTGCCAACCACTCCTTCAGTTTCTCCAATGCCTTGCCCCGATGGCTTATCTTGTTCTTCTCACTCTTGTCCATCTCAGCGTACGTCTGGCCCTCGTACTCGAAGCACGAGTCCCAACCTTTGTGTGTTATTGTCAGCTTCCGGCATATCTTCATCAAGCCATGCTTCGCCTTTCAAAACGACCATCGGGGGAAACCTCTACTTACCGAAAACAGTAGACCCCCGGCTTTCCACCAACTTTCCATCTGTGCGTCCTTGGAAGAGAATTGCTTCCTTGCCTGGACCTTCGCAGTACCCAAATGTGCATACCGCTTGGGCGGATTTGTCTTCAAAACCAGAGAGCATTTTGTGGAGGTTTGGGGCGCCGAGGGAGAGCATGAACCATTTGCTGGCAGGATAAGAGTGTTAGATGAGCGGCTTTGGTGGGGGAAGTAAAAGATTGTTGACGTGGATTTGAGGCTGGAATAGATGCGGAAGAAGGCAAGGAAGGACAAGAGCAGGGGAGAGAGAGAGGCAACATACATATACGGTCCCGGAAGGTCATTCATGGCTTTGAAGCAGAGACATGTATCTTCTACTAGAACCGGGCCTTGTACCTATCATTAATTCAACCATCAGCATCTGAGATAACACATATACTATCCACAAAAAAAAAGAGTCTTTTTATGTGAAATCATAACTTACAGCCTCAGCTGCTCTCCGTGCCTTGTCTTTCGTCACTTCTTCAACGGTGCCTTGGATTTCGACTAGGTCGACATTTTGGTTCTGCAGCTCGATGACGCCGGAGAGGATGGCTTGGACTTCGGCAAGCTTGTTCTTGTTGCCTGTTATGAAGTTTAAAACAGTGGGGATTGTTGAGGATGACATATTGAGGAGGTTGCTGATTGAACTTGGGAGGGTAGCTTCAGGAATTTTTGTTGCTTGGTTTGATGGTTTTTGCGGCTGCGATGAGAGTGTCAGTTAAAATTTGTGTCAATCACACCTAAGCACTGGGAACCTTGGGCGATTTATGTTTTGGATACTCACGATTATTTTGATCCTTAGTCTGGAAATCCTTAATTTGCTAAGCAAGGTTTGGTTAACTATTGAGCGTGATTAGTGGTTTTCAAGTTGCGAAGGGCGCAATTGGAATGATAGCGGTCTGGTTGACAATCTCCATCGGTAAAGGGCGCTCAACATCGCCGACGGGTACACCGCTAGGGCTGAAAGCACATACATCTTAGAGTCGATGACTTAACACCCTTCTAATGCCACAATGTGCAAAGTCTCCGTCTGACGTATCGTCGCAGGGCTGAAGGGTCTATGTTTAGGCCCTTCCATAAGCGAGCTGAGCAGGGGTCCGTCTTTTAGCGTGCATTGAATGTTACCGTGGCCCTACAAAACATCACTTTCAGCCGCATCAAATCACACCCTGCAAGGTTCCTGAATCCTTCATAACGGTTTTTACCGTTCATACCGACTGGGCGAAACTGCAAACCCCCCCGAGCTCGCCGGGCAAGAGCCGCATGGCTTGAGGCTGAAGATCATTCGACTGTAATTCACGACTTCACCGCGCGCAACGAACGCTCTGCAACTGTTCCCAGGACTGTGCAGAAGGCTGGGCATTTTCCTTTTCGTCATACCGCGATAGAGTCATCGCCGAGGACGGCGCGGGGACTGTTGTTTTTGTCACCGCCAGTATGGGTTCCCTCAGGACTCTGTTCCTGGGTGTGTATGCCTCGAACGGCGTTATAAGGACGTTGTTCCTGCCATTATGCTACCTCACACTATTCAGCCCATTCGCACTTGCTCTAGCCTGGTTCTTTGGCCTTGGTCAAAAAGTTCAGAACACTATACCTGAAGATTTCTCCTGGTTCGATCTATTGCCTGCCTTTGCGATTTCAGCAGTTTTTGTGTTGCTACCTACGAGGCTACTGTCAAGTTCAGAAAAAGTAGTCAAAAGCCAAGATGGGAAGAGACGGGTACAATCGCTGCCATACTGGATCCCGGGTGTACGCCATCTTTGGAGCATTGCATTTGGAGGCGAGGAGTGGTTAAACAGCGTCCGGTACGTGTCCTGGCAGTAATTGCTGGATTTATCTGACCGGTTATAGAGATTCTGCAACAGCAAGTATAGTGGCATACAAAGCTGCTGGAACCAAACACAATATTCTGCTATCAGAATCTTTGCTTGAGCAGATATACAAGAACTCGCAAGGCCTGGAGCTACCAGACAGCAGCCAATCTGCTATTCTCCGAAACGCCTTCAACCTACCGGAAGCAATGGAAAGCCATTGCTTCGAGCTTCAAAGTGAAATCAATCAGATCATTGAAAAGGAACTGTACGAAGGTACGGCGAAGGATGACTTGATCAAGGCATCGTTACGCACATTGACCGAATCGCTTCCGGACTTGGTTACATTCAATTCCTCTATTGTCGACCAAATGCAATGGGAACGCGTCTCGAACGTGGAACTTACGGATGGTACATCGGAGGTCGAGTGCGACCTTTTCACACTCATCAATGAGTTTTGCTGCAATGCTATTTTACCCCCAATTCTCGGAGCCCAGTTTATCGAATCCTATCAACTACTCGCAACGGACCTGGCGACCTGCAACGGGCGATTCTGGGCACTTGCTCTCGGATTACCGCGATTGGCACCTATTCAAGGCTTGCCGGGAGCAGCTCTGGCAAGAAAGAGACTACTAAAGAATTTCGCAAATCTGTTTGTAGAGTTGACGAACCCGCCCACGAGGAGGGTACCAGACGATGATGAGAGCGTGAGCGGAGAAGAAGACACAGACGCCGATATAGTCACGCCTCTTATGAAACTAAACGAGCTCTTTACTAAGCATGAACTACCCGCGGAATTACGGGCTTCGATTGGGCTTCACCTAGTGCATGGTATTTACTCAGAAGTCATGCCACTTGTATTCTGGACGGTCCTACATATCTACGCGGCATCCAAAGCGCAAGACGCGAAGGACTCAGCTCTTGAGGATGTCAAAGCAGAATCCAAGGCCTGGGCCCAAGCCATACAGCCTCCATCGATACATCCGTCCTTCCCAGCACCACCAGAGATATGCTTCGGCTCAATCACAGAAGCGCTGACACCGACTTCTCTACCTAACCTTCGCTCATGCATTCATGAAGCTCGACGTCTATACACCTGCTCCATCAGCACATACAGAGTCCAGAGACCACTTCATCTAAAAGAGGGCACCATCAGTCGACCTGATGGGGGGGAGGAATGGGAATTAGAAGCCGGGACGTACGTTGATATCGGTCTCTCTGGATCTCTCATAAATTCGTCAACAGCATTTCATACTTCCCCACAAACCTTCAGACCCGATCGTTTCTTCTTCGACACACCAGGTTCACCATCTATCGTCTCGCCTATGGATAAGTCTCAGTCTTACAAGACTGATCTCATCATCTCCATAGTATCAGGCATCATCCAGCTATGGGAAATCACGCCTGCTCCAAAGAAGAGCTTCTTTGATCACCTCCAAGAAGCAGGCAACGAAGCATCGTTTGGAGCCGAGGCGCCTACTGCAGAGCAGAAAGCTGCTAAAGAGGAAGCGAATAGGGAGAAAGAGGATGCTAAGAGAAAAGAAGCCAAGTGGGTGCTTCCAAAAGCGGTTGACGGGGCGGAAATAAAGGTCCCCAAAGGGGATATTCGGGTCAGAATCAGAAGGAGGGAGGGTTTGCCTGTTAGCAAGGTTGTGCGGAGGATTGGTTAGCGTTGGTACTGGGGGTTTCACCGGAGTCAACGTGCATGCATGACCAGCATGCGACTGTCCATGGTAGCCGCGCAATCTGCGGCTGGCGGTGTCGAGAGAACTATATGGAAGCGCGTTGCGGAGCCGCGATAGTATATGTCCGCGACTATTGACCTTGGCACGGGCCGGTAGGGTAGTTACAGGTATCGGACCGCTATACGTACAAGCAAGTAGGCATCTAGGATACAATCGCAAACTGTCTTCATCGACGATGGGAACCATTTCCACCCATGTTTGTGATCCACTACGTCTTACAATTCACCCCAGCCCAACGCTAACTTCTCCACCCAACTAGCCCACTTGATCCCAAGCTAAATTCTCTCTCCCATATCCCCATATCATTCCTCTAGTAGTTTCTACAGTCGCGATCGATCCCGATGGCCATCCTTTCGTACCATGGTATCGCTACTTCGCGAACGCGCTGACGTCCCCCCCCCCCTCGCCAAAGTAGCGGTGAGGTACCGCTTCAACACCAACACACCCAACGCTGAAACCTGAATCAAGCCATCTCCCACCTACTCCCGCTTCCACGCGAAAAGGAGAAAACGCAAAGCCACATCATCATCAGGATCAGCAAAGTCGAGACTCATCTATCTACTGTAAATGTATTGATTGTCACATTGGCAATCGCACACCGCAGGATTATGATGGAGAAGGACCGCACTGGGGCTTGGTAGCATAGTGTTCTGTTAATCAGAGTTTGAGGTAGAGATCGAAGTTTTATGGGCTGACGATCGTGATGTGGATTAGGGAGTATGTCGGAGGTTGAGAATGTAGTCGGAGGCTTTTGTGCATGGGTCTTCGGATGTTAGAGGAACGTTGTCGGAAGGTTACCTCCGATTCTGGGCTAGTTCTCATGATGTATCCTGATCCCTGAACATACACGATTTTAAGTTCACTGTAGTAAACCATAAGCTTTGCTGCTGATGAATATGTGTGCGGGCTATATAAGTTCAATTTATGAATATCTCCAACAAGGAGCATAACAGCTCTAAACAGCCTTCCTAGCTCAGTGGTAGAGCGCGTCACTAGTAATGACGAGGTCGTCAGTTCAATTCTGGCGGAAGGCATTGCTTTTTGCTGATGTCGCTGCCATTGTCTGTTCTGACACAAGCACGAAAGTATTGTGTGTCAATCGCAGTGATGTGAAAGCCATCCTGCGTCACGCATCGAAACATTCCTTGAATTGAGATGATTTTCTTTTTTTTCTTTTCGCCTACTACTATGCTTCTAGAGACACGCACTGCTCGTATAAAATCATCCTCCTGAATTCGGAATTCCTTAACTGCGTCTCTCTTCTGTGCCACTCTCATGTTCAGAGGTTAGCAGGAGCATACAGCCCGTCAAGGTGGACATGGTCGTGGCAACACTCCCATCGTTAAGACAGTGGGGCGTCATTGGATCATTGCACCATAGACACCATCAACAATGCATAGCAGTGGGTATGAATTTGGAACTCATCAATGTCATTTCCATGATACTTTTCCCGCATGACCTGTTAACACCAGATGCGGATCGTACCCCATGCACGCCATCACTGCCGCGGGATCGCATCAAGGGCCATGTTTATCTTTTATTTGTAAACACAAACACCTTTGGAATGCCGATATCATGCCGCGGAAAGTTGAAAAGACCCAAGAACCCCTTGCCTATCCAACAAGACCTTATACCTCCTCAAGGACAGTCTCCTTGAACTCACGCTCAACCTTCTGGCCAGAGTCGTCCTGGCTTGACTCGCCGTGGAGACCGAGGAGGGCACCAAGGTCGAACTTGGGTGCCTTGAGGAGCTTGACCTTTCGTACGTGAACCTGTGTCACATTAGCCTATGTCATCCACCATTGTCTGTGCAGCCACATACGTTCTGGAGGGGGTAGATGCCCTGGGTGGCCTTCTCGATCTCGCGACCGATGACCTCGGGGATGAGCTTCTGGGTAAGCTGGGCGAGGGTGCACGAGCTGGCGTCGCGGGCCATGATCTCAACCATCTTCTTGCGGATGGCCCTGATCTGGGACGACTGGGCGTATGTGGTCTTCTTGACCTGGTTCGGTCGTCGCTTGGTGAAGGCAATGCAGAAGAGGCGGAGGAGGTAGTCGTCGGTGGTCTTGACAACGACGTTGGCCTCGATGAGGGATTGCCACTTGCGGACGAGGGAGCGGAGCTTGTCGGAGGTGAAGTCGAGACCGTGGAAGTTGGTCAGGCAGTTCTTGCCCTGGACCTCGTCGACGCGGAGCTTGACCTTGCGGAAAGCGTGGTCCTCATCCTTCTGGAGATCGGCGAGCGAGACCTCGAATATCCGGCCCTTCAGAGCGTCGTTGGCGTTCTTGAGACCGGTGGTACGGTTGACGAGGGTCTTTCCGACACTGCAAAGAGCGAAGAGTAAGCATTGCGTCCCCGTGTAGAGCAGCGGGAATTCTTACTCTCGGACCGCGAAAGTTCCTGGGGCCTTGATGTTGTACCAGTCCTTCTTCGCGAAGGTGTCGGTCTTCTTCTTGAGACCCTTCTTTCCCTTTGAAAGACGCTTGTTCTTGCCGACAGCCATGATTACGAGTCTTGTTGTCGGTCGTCGAGAGGGTGGTTGTCGCTGTCGATGTCGGAGACTGAGATCTCACAAATTGGTGGTGTTCAAAATCGCTAAGCGAGCCCAGTAGCGCATCACGTGTGCCAAGCCCAAAATCGAGTGCGGCGATCAGCAACACCACACCTGCACCATCCAATGCAAATCATCTGGGACGTCAGTAGTTCATGTGCACACTTATAGGATGCAACGTTACCTGATGTCGCATGCGTTGCGATCAATGTAGCCATTAACGGTGGTGCACTTGGCGATCTTGCAAGTCGACATCTATTGCGTGCGCATGATATTCCCCACAACAAGAAACAAAGTGCAACATACAAAGAGTGCTGTAATTGCATCATATATATGAGACACGGTCGTCGGGGTCGCTTGGAGAGTAGGGTGTATACGCGACTTCACGTCTCTAAGCACCTGGCAACGGGAGGGACGACCAATAACGTCATGTAGTGCAAATGTCAGTCAGGCTACGCATGTCAAGTAATGTAAATATGTTTACATTGTAGCGACTGCAACTTCTTTACAGTTCTTTCAGCAGTAACGAATAGACTAGACTACCCTTCGCACACGCTAGCGCCCTCATCCAAATTCGAGTTGCGCTCATTCTCAAGTCTCCTCGGGGCAGCGCCAAGCGCTCCGCTCTATGCGGCAACAATGCGATCATGGTCGCAGCTGAATGGTTGGACCTAGCATCAGAAGACACACTCGTGTACCTCGGCCCCAATGACTTCTTTCCTTCTCTCTACATCTCGACACATCATTGTCGTGAGGTAGAATCACTAGTCTGACCCCTGCTCATTCTTGTTCTTAGTGACAGCGAAGACGATACGGTGATAGTCATATGGTGCGCCAGTCAAGCAGCTGTGCAGTTTCCAAGATCGGACACTGTCGACTTGCGGTGTCTTGGATCCAGATCAAGGTACACTGTTCATCGTAGGAGAGAACGTGAACCTGGTAAGCGTTGCGGTGATGGAGTTGGTGGGTGTTGTTGATGAGACAAGTCCTTGTTGCGTAACATCAAAGACTTCTGCATGTCTGTTCATGTCCTGACATCAGACCGCTGCTGCTCCTGGCCATATGGGTTTTGGTTCTGGCAGAACTTCTCAAAGTCAGGAAAGCTGATGTAGCCATCTACAAGTATGTTAGCCTTGTGCTACTTCGATCTGACATACTCAGTGCTTACCCTGCTGCCTGTACTGTCTGACGTAGCGTTCACTTTCAGTCCTTGACATTGATGGCCTCTCAGAAGAATAGGCCGGTTCCGACTGCAACCTCGATCGTGGAGTGAGCATTGGGCTTCCAGGTGGCGTCTCGCCTCGAGGTGTAGTAGGCGATGAAGCAACCTTGGCCAGGAGAATGGAGGCTTTGGTGGGGCTACCAGATGTTGATGTGCCAGAGTCCCGTCGAGAAGTTACGGGCACGAGTGTGGTAAGGCATGGTGAAGAAACAGTTGACGGTGTTAGAGGCGGCCGCCGACTTGCTGAGCGGGATCGTTGTGGCGCCTCGGTAGGTAGCGAGAAGTAGTATCGTGGATGGCTGGACATGGCGAAGATGTGCGTCGATCGACAACGAGCGAATGTCAAAGTCGGAGAATTAACTGCGGTATGGGAATTTGAAGAATGACGGAGTGTGCGGGAGGGTAGTATAATAATGGTGTCCAAATCGCCTAGACGCTATTCACCCCATACTACCGAATGCATATATGTATAGTGACGCCTCTGGCTGTTCCAGGCACCCTGGTCGACGCCAGCTGCATCAGCAGCCCGGAGCTCCCCACTCGACATCGCTGGCTTTTTGGACTAGTTATGCATGCCGAAGTGGATACCGCCAGAAAACGTGGACGTTCAGAATTAGTCTGTTTGCAAGGGAGGTGTGCTGTCATGCTTTGACTCGCCCTGACTCGCCCCTGGTGCACACAAGACCATCTCACCTCCATTTCTTTAGCCTGGTAGTCTGCTGCGAGCTGCTGCAGGTGTGAGTTGGCCACCGCCGACGACGAGGCGGATGACAGACATGAAACACTGTGTTGTGATTCAGTAGACACTGGCATAGTACCTAGGTAGCCAAATGGGAAAGGTCGATTTCGCCCTGGAGTGCGCTTACGGTGTGGCAGGTCATTCGCGTCGGCCGTTCCTGATTGGCATCGCGCACCTCGATCCAAAGCCTCGTCGGAAGAGCGGGTGCACTGCCATAGCGGCGCCGTCGCATCCTCAAACCATGGCATCGGCGGATGCAAGCCGCCATCCCAATGAACATCCGTCATGGCTGCGCGGTGATGACAGAACCGGCTCTGCCCTGTTCCTCGCCCTGGAAACTGGGCGAGTCTTCCTTGCTGTGTATCAGGAACGTTCGAGGGGCACACGTATGCTTATCCATAGCCTAAGTTGTTATCGAGTTCCAGACGTCTCTACTGACCACCATGCGGTTTGTGCGACAATGAGACAGGTACCGGACCTGCAATGAGCCTCATTCATATCGGTCACTTTGTCGGTGACGACATTGCCTCAGCTGAGGTTTCTATTTATGCCGTGTCATGCAATGCAGATGACAATCCCTTGTCATCGAAAGTCGAGAACGTTGTACTTGCAAGGGCATCCTTCCAACGCTTTCGTGCGATCCGGTTGGAGCATAAAGACACGCGAGGACACCAACGCCTTCGACACCGGTCACTATTACCCACACGACCCTTCGATAACGACCTCTCGTGTTTTGGATGTCACATCGGTATGGTCTTTCCGTCGCATAGCGATTGAGGGGAAGACACGTACCCGGCATCCTACCGCTTAGAGGCTGCCCTGATGCACCAACGGTTGCGATAAACTGTTACCGCTTAAGACGACCAAAGGCAAATACATTTTCTTTGGTATCGTTAATTAAACAACGATGTGGCAACAAAAGAGGCTTCACATTGTAAGGATGAATGATCTCGAGCTTTTCCCGGGCATAATTTGAGATGTGCTGTGATCCCCGGATCTACCCCTCACCCTTTTCGACTTTACAACCAGGCGAATACTAGAATGCTGCAAAACGTAACTCTGTCGGCAATGCTTATGTCTGACTTGGTTCTGGAACGGCTGTTACCTCGTCTCGCTTCACCTCCGCGTCAGCTGTTCTCACATGTTGCCATGCTAGAGTGGGCAACGTTCCGATTTGACAGTCGTTATCCCAACGACGCATTCTCAGCTGGCCGCCTAATAACCGGACGTTCAACAAAACGCTGACACAGGACCATGTCAAATGTCTTTAGAAGTACAGTACGGCCCTTCTTGTATTAACACAAGGGAACCCATAGGCAGGCCAACCGTTCGCCCGTCCGTCCATTTCGAGAGGCAGATGCAGAAGCCGAAAGCTGTCTAGTATCATGCCATGCTGCCCAGTCCGTCATTGTGTACATACGATGTGGTTAGCATGCCGACGTGCATGTTGAAACCCGGGAAGCGGGTACCCCTCCACGCCGTCATAGCCGCGGCCGTTCAACAGTATCCCGTCTTTCCAATTCCGCATCATCATCGACGATAAATTCCCATGTACTCTTTTCGGACCGGGTATGATTAGAACTACGACCAAAGCTCACATTCCTAGCTGTTCATCGATGGAAAGTAACTTCTCGTGCGTTGGGCTTTTCGTGATGGGTACTGAGGCCCTCCTTAACATACCCCTCACCACCACACCCTCAGCTCAAACACCACTGCCCCGAGTAAATTCTCCGCAAATCCAGACACGCTTCTACGGCAGATCTCGCCGCCGATCTTACCCGCATAATAACACACATACCCGCTCACCACCATGCCGAGCAATCGCTGCTTCCTCCCTCTTGAGCGAGCGAGTAGAGAAGCGCCTGTCACTGCGGCAACGCAGAAACGGTCGCCGACAGCGTGACGGGTTTACCGCCACTACCCAGACTGCACTGCACTCCATCTCGCTACTCCTCACAATCAACCAACCAAACTCCTCACATCTGTTCCTTCCACATTCGGACAAATAAGAACACAATCTTCCTGACCCACATTGCACGATAGCTAACAGAAGAACGGCGACATCATGGCGAAAACAAAATCATCCACCACACTAAATCTCAGTTTCCCAATATCTGAAACATACTTAGGTATGACACAGTGGAGTGTCTCCAGTTACAACTGAACACATCCTCGCACAAACAAAGAAGCGGTCTGCAATACAGGTAAACTAGAAGAAGAAAAAAAAACGTGTACCAACACCAGCGGTCAAATAAGATAGCTAGCGGGCCGCTCCCGGCAATCAATCGGTGTCCTTTGCTCCGTTCACATTACCCTACCCCCCCACTTTCCTACACACCCACACGTGCACACTACTCGCCCACAAAATCCGCATCTAGACCCTTTGATTTACACGCCTACCCACAAAAGACATGTTACACACCGGATGGTAGATCTTCACCCCATCCACATACGTAGTACGCATCTGACACACACACACACAACTCATGCACGGTACATGCGGGTAGGGCTTCGCGCGGGTGTCAAAAAAACCAGGGGGGATAGGAGAGGAGGGGACCAGGTATGCTTGTATAATGACAGCGATCACGGTACGCCAGGGGAGATTTTGTGCAGACTAGGTTTAGTGTTGCAGATGTGATGTGGGCTTTTCTCATATGCAGATGCGAGTATGACTGGAATGGTGAGGTGGATACTGGGTCTTGGTGGGGAAGGGGGATGTGTGCGGTGAACGGTGGGAGTTTTGACGATGGGAACGCGACGTGCAGTTGCTTGGGCGTGTGGATTGTGGATACGTGTGTTGAGGGGACTTGACAGTAAGCGATTGGTTGGTGGGTGGTGTCGGTAGATTGAATGTGGTGGACTGAGTGTAGGTTCGGATAACGCTGTGTGCACGTGAAGCTAAGGTGGACGATAGCAAAGAGATTGTTGTGATATGAATTTATATCATACGAAAATCAGCACAGTCATTGATAGAGCATTGTGAGTGATAGATTGTATTGTGTGTTTTGAATGTGCGGTTGAAGTCGAGGTTTTTTTCGACTATCATCATGTGTCATGTCCATGCTATGTTGTTATCCGGGTGTATTGCTCCCACAATCTGTTGTCTTGTTCGTATCATGGTACCGTGGTTTAATGCTAGCGTTGAGGTTAGTATGAGTTCGTAAACAAGATAAGAGTCACATGGTTGCACTTACATCAACATCATCCCAACCACGACCCTTTACATTTGCCAACTCGTCCATCGACATGACATGACCGGTTGTAACTACGAGTTCTGATGTTAGTAATGCTAATGCGTACTAGAATATAGGAAGACCTACAATAACCAGCCTGGATCTTGGCATCGATCTCAACGCGACTATCGGCCGGGATCATGTCATCAGGAATAGGTACGCGTTCGTGAATGGGAATGCCTTGGTCAACGATAGCATCATGCTTCATGTTGGACATGCTGAGCATTCTGTCGATCTTGGTGATACCCAGCCAATGTAGAATATCCGGCATCAGAGCTTGGAAGCGCATATCCTTGACACCCGCAATGTTCTCAGTGCGCTTGAAGTACTCGCTGGCACGGTCTTCGCCTCGCTTCCTGGCGTTGTAGACAAGATACTTGGTGACCTCACCAAGAGCACGACCTTCCTTGCGGAAGTAGATGACGACACCGCTTCCACCCTTCTGGGCCTCTTTGACTGCTTCTTCGATACCGAAAGTCAGGTATGGACGACATGTGCAAATGTCGGATCCGAATACATCACTTCCGTTGCATTCGTCGTGGATACGGAGAGCGAGCTTTGCGTTGGGATCGGACATCTTTGCTGGGTCACCGAAGATGTAGACAGTCATACCGCCAATAGGAGGGAGGAAGAGCTTGATATCGTGACGGGTGATGAGCTCTGGATAAGAGCCACCAGTCTCCTCGAACAGTGTCCGGCGCAAAGTTCCCTCGTCTTTTTTTAGTGCGTTAGTCAGGGTAAGAATAACTCCATGATGATGCCACTTACCAATATTGAAGCGCTCAGCGACACCAGGCAAGTACCATACAGGCTCGACGGCAACTTTGGTGACGGCAACTTCACCAGTCTCGTTCATACAGATCTTGCCATCAGGAACAAGTCTGCCTTTTCTTACACTCTCCTCAAGTTCCGGCACCTTCATGTGTGCTCTTGTGATGGCAATGGTAGGTCTGATCTCAACATCATCCTTGTCCATAGTTTCCTTGTACAACCAGGGTGCAAGATGGCCGTATGGGTCCATGGCCACGATTTTCTTTGGGTCACTCCATTGCGGGAAAGGACCAATCTTTGCGGCAGGCTCGGTGTTAGTGAAGTCTGGCTTGTGGGTGATATCGAGGTTCTTGCTTGCTACGGCCAAAGCATTGTAGATGGAGTATGAGCCACCATGAGCACCGATAGCTGAAAGCTGTTAGGGACTGATATATTCAACGATTGTTCTTATTACATACCATTACGTCTCCGGATAGTGTTCGCATGTCTTGACACAACGACAGGGCCACGGACTGCAGGGTCCTTGGCACCCCATTGCATGGGCAATGGATCGACACCAGCTTGACCGGGATACGAAGTCAAGATGATTTTTGAAATCTTGGATACACTCGTGCGACGTGGTTGGGCATCAGCATTTGAAGGTGGCTGCTCATACTGCTCGCTAACGGCTTCTACAGACTTGGACGGCTCAGCTCCATTCGCCTTCTCGACGTCTAGCTTCCCATTGGCAGCTGCATCTGCTGCCTCGTCCTTGATTTGCTTGATGCCTGCCAGCATGTTCACACGGCCGTTGATCTTGTCGACTGACGCTGCGAGTACGGAGTTCTCCGATCGGAGGGCCTTAAGCCCTTCGAGGATCTCCTTAAGGACAGCATCGCTGGTAGTGCTTTCAGAAGACATGTTTGGTAAAGGTAAACCGCATACAAACTCGTACAGGCTCTTGGATTTTGAAGCAAATAGCAAATATGTTTGCCGCGTTGGTGTCGAGTTGTGAAACAAAGACCGGTGAGTTCCGATGGTAGGAAGAACAAACACACAAGATGATGTAGATGGAGGGTAGTGGGCAGAGGCACAAACACAACTTCAAACAAACGTCGAAGGGGACCAGAAGGATCCAGAGAAGGAGGAGAAAGAAGGACGAGGAGAAGCAATGTGGTCAGATATTATACCGGTGTAGGAGCTCGCCGGCGGTGCCAGCACTGAACAGCTGACTATACACGTGCATGAGGCTCGGGAAGAGCGCTGATAGGAGCGGGGACGCTTATCGGCTATCGACGTATGCGGCAGCTGCAAGGGAAGCGACAGGGATCTTGGCGGTCGGAACCACGCGAGACTCGAGACGCATTCACCCAGGCTCGCGATTTCGCGTCACTGCACACGACAAGAGCGCAACAATCACCAAACACTGTTCCGTGATATCCACACCACAATCGCTGGATAATAGCCACGTATCCACACACCTTCCGCATTTGGCGACTCGAGTAATCGCGAGAAAATGGTATGTTTCTCCAGGCTTCACGTATCGCATTCGCAAACTAATGGCAATGACAGGGCAAGCGCAAATCCTCCAGCAAGCCTCAAGGCCCCAAGAAGGCACGCCATACCCCATCTCCATGGAGGTCCCGCTGACTAACACCGCTGTAGAAGGAGAAACTCCCGACGACGTTCCAATGCCTCTTCTGCAACCACGAAAATTCCGTCAGCGTCTCCATCGAAAAGAAGTCCGGTGTCGGCAACCTGCAATGTAAAGTCTGTGGCCAGACCTTCCAGACCAACATCAACTATCTCAGCGCGCCCGTCGACGTGTATGCCGATTGGATCGACGCGTGTGACGCAGTTGCGAAGCAGGCGGCCGAGGGCAATGTCGATACCGCGCGGAGTACGAATCGCATGGGCAGGATGCCGACGGCACACAACCAAGAAGATGATGATGGGGACGGCGGCTTCATCGAGCACGATGAGCCTGACGCGGAAGGAGAGTATGCAGACTAGGTCGCTTAGGGGCGGTCGCGCAAGAGCGACAGGGCATGAAGGCTTCGGGCCTTGTATAATACATGGGAAGGGGTCACGGCTTGCACGGCGTTTAGGATACCAAAAAGGATCCATAGATTCACCATGGCGTTTCATTATCGTCAGTATCAGGCTGAGGCGTGTTCACGGTTAGCTGAGCGCAATATCCGTACAAGTTTACTTGGTAATCAAGCGTGAAATGCTCAAAATCGTGCATTCTTCTTTGAACAGTCTCGTGCTAACACATGCTCAAGCAAACCCAAGCCGCCCTACGCCCAACAGATGCTCTTGATGAACTGGATACGCTGCTGATTACTTTTACATCGTGTAGAATCGGTCGCCAAAGTCACCCAGTCCTGGGACAATGTAGCTAGATATCTCGTCAGTACCGCACATGCGTGGGGAGGCTGGGTTTCAACGTACTTCTTCTCATCCAGGCCTGCGTCAACAAAGGCTGTAACCACCCTCACCTTGGGGAACTTATCCGCAAGGTTCTGCGCGCCTTCCGGACTGGCAATGAGGTTGAGGAAGAGGATGTGCTCCTCAGGTACGCCCCTCGACTTGAGCACATCAATAGCCATGAGTGCCGAACCACCAGTAGCCAGCATTGGATCCAGTAACAAGACCCACCTGTCGCTGATGTCCTCGGGCAACTTGTCGTAGTATAGTTTCGGCTTACTAGTCTCCTCATCCCTCTGAATCAGAATCTTTCCAATGCGTACACTTCTACAGCAGTCCCTCAAACCTTGCTCCATGGACTCTCCCGCACGCATGATCGAGACACCGCAGATCTTGCCTTCGAACTTGACACCGGAGTAGGTGCGGCCTACAGGGGTAGTGATTTCCTGCGACTCTGTCGGCAGATGGTTGAGGCCTTCTTCGACGAGCAGACGGATTATGCGGTTGCTGTAGAAGATGAAATCTGCGCGGCCGGTGTTACGGTCACGTATCATGCTTTGGTATCGTTAATGAATTACTTCTTTGTGGTGTTGGTCGTGGTACATGGGAATCTTACGTGAGCAATGCTATCAGCTGAGGGGATTGGGGTAGAATGTGAACATTCTTCTGTTTGAGAGGGGTCGAGACAGTAGCCGTTGGCTTTAGAGATGAAGGACGATATTCGGGTCCTAGGCACTGGGACGGTGGTTGAGAGTCTGAAGACATGTTTGAGGTAAGAGGCTAATTACAGTCAGTCAAAGTCATCTACTTTTGAACCTTATAGAGATCTTCTAAGGACATTATACGGTATTCTAACAGGAGCTATTGTGAAGACTGATGTGTATAGAAAGAGCTCACCTGAGGTTGAATATGCGACTAGAGTTTGTGCTGTTGGAACGCAATTTGATATTGGTGGGGTAGCGAGAATAGGATCGGTTCAAGAGTAAAACCAAACGATAGAGAGATCTTTTATTAACAGATATGACCTCTAGATAAGAGGCAGAGAAGAGGAGCTGAAGCGTAGGTGGGCTAACAGTCTAGGCTCGTGACCGTCGGCGAACTCCTTCACTTTGTTTGGGAAGGAGCAACCCATGCCCCGCTGTTTAGCGTGCCTTTCGTTCGGGTCCCTGCTTCGATCACCAGCCACCATGCAAACAGCCGCTTTGAGCATTTCACCATGATGGTGATGATGTCGCTACAATGAGGTGAGGTTTGTGGTGAATCAACGCGTCGACCCGTCCAATGTGAGCGTGAGTGGTAATTGCCGAGACATCCACGGTTCAACGTCCGCGGGCACCTGCGAGATGCGCGTCTAGGTCACCTTTTGGAGTGTCACCACAACACGTCTTCTCACAAACATGGCCACGACCATGTTCGCCGATTTAGCTTCTAGCGACCGTCGCAAGAAAGTTTATGGCAAATCGTCGCGTCCGTCCGCCCTCCCGCCACCTCTACCCGATTCGAACGACGATGCGCCTCCATCCCCAGAGCGACCGCGGAAACATGCCGCAGCCTTGAACGGTTCGTTGAAGAAAACTGGAGGCGCATTCAACGTCGGGCCTAGTTTGGGAAATGCGCGCGCAAAGACTGATGAAGTCGACATCTTCGACGTACCCTCTGAGGACGAGTTCCTTTCGCGCCCGAAGCCGACCAAGAAAATAGTAGCGAAGCGTCGCATACCCGAAGCAGACCTGGAAACCTCAGCTTCCTCCAAAGATGAGACTCTCCAGAAACCCAAGAAGCTAGGAAGAACCGCACAGCCGGTGCGCAAGCCCGACGTCGCGAAGCCTACTACCGTGAAGAAGAAGCTTCCTACGGCCGCGCAGATCCCAAAGCCCGTACAGGCACCGCTGCCTTCATCCTCGGTTCCGGTCGCACCCCGAAAACCACGCGGAAAGACGCCCCAGCCCGTAGAGGCACCGGAACAGACTACACGAGACCACAATTTATTACAGAGGCCGGCGGCCAAGGCGAAAGCACTACCAGAGGCGACGACTCTTGCACCGTCACAAGCCAAAGCTAAGAAGAATGCAAAGACAGCTCCGGTCCTGCCCGCGAAAAGTGCGCCAGGGAAAGCATCAGCTAAATCAGGTGACGATCTGGCCGTGTTTGATGTGCCAATGTCAGACGAAGAGGCACCGCCAACGGTCAAGAAGATCTCACGTCAAGCTCCATCGAGAGGTCCAAAGGAGCCTGCCAAGAAGTCTAAAATAACATCTGAAGACTCTCACAAGGACACTGCGGAGTCGGACGATTCCAATGCTGCGAAGAAGCGCAAGCGCCAAGGATCCGTCTCTTCAACTGCCACTATAGCCAGACCAGTGGTGCAACAGAAACGTGAGCAGTCGGCCCCTCAGCGGAGCCAGAAGTACCAAAAGAACGAGGATGGCGCTTCACCGGGACATGGGTTATCGAACCAGCCCACCACAGGCTTAACTCAGAAGCTGCAGCCACCGGCGCCGCCAATCAATAAACCGACAAGGACAAGACAACATACTGTGCCTGTACTAGCACCACGAACTATTACCAAGGGTCGATCTTCTCCGGCTATGCTAAGCAGCATGATTCCGAGCCGCCAGCCTTCCAGGCCATCTCCTGTTAAGGAAGTGTTTGAAGTTGCTGAATTGGAAGATCAGACTATGTATGACATACCAGATCCGTTGACTACGCCTGTTCGTAAATCGAAAGCTTCCATACCTGGCTCAGTGACACCGCGACAAAAGGACCTCTTCGGTGGCTTGCTAAGTGACTCATCATCCTCGACTACGCCAATGCCCAGCATTTCCAATCTACAGCTAACGGATCGTAAACCGAGATCGCTTATCGGCAGTTTATCAAGATCAAAGTCTGATGTCACTCACAGTGCCAAGGCTCGTAAGACTAGACTTATTGATACTCTCAAACCCACAGAGACTAGCTCGGATGACGACGAAGAAGAAGAAGAAGAAGAAGAAGAAGAAGAAGAAGGGAGCAGCGATGAGGTTGGAGATGAATTGGAAGCAAGCTCAAACCCTCCCCGAACTGCAAGAGAGCCTTTACAAGAATCCGGAAGAGTTCATCCCCCAAAGGCGCTCTCAGATGACATGGAGGTGGATAATCAAGCAAATGTCGACTCACAGACATCACAAACCACATCTGGATTTGGCATGCGCCCAAAGCTCACTTACGCCATGGCAAGGTCATATCTGAAGGAAGACAATCCGGAAGATGACCTACTGATCTCGATGGATTTGGATGACAACTTCGGGTCTCATTCCCAGAGGGACGCCAGATCTGTGTCTGAGGATGATCCCGAGCAGAATAGCCAAGCGCAGGCTCAACAAATGCATGAGCTCAAAACCCGGGGACGCAACACGGTCCTCCAGCACGAAGCGGAGATGATGATCGAAGAGACGTCCGTCACCAACAGTAAAAACATACGGCGTAGTGCAATGATTGATCTATGCACCAAGATGGCTGACGAAACGTTTTGCGATCAGCTTCTGGACTCTGCTCTGGTCCATCAATTCTTCCAGAACATCTCTGTCGGCCGTGAGATCATCTTCGAGTTTGTCACTGCCGTCGCCACGGTGTTCGTCCTCCGCACTAACCCTGCCTACTCTGTCCTTGACCAACTGCACGAAACCGGTAGTCTCAACAACCTTGTTAAACTTGTTGCCAACGATGCGGACATCAAGGAAATTGCAAAAGATCGCAAGACAAATCTGTCAAAGATCGCGAAGGAGTCGGTACTCTCATTTCGCACCTTAGTTCAGCAATCCTCTATTTGGTCGCCTGCAGTAATTGAAAAGGTATCACCGCAGCTTGTGGCGCTGAAAGCCATTGAGTTGCTCATCATTGGACTGCGGAAGGCTGGCAATGCAGATATGCTTATCAACCAAACAATGATCTCGCAGATTGTCGAGATCGCTTCAGTTTCGAACGACCGATCACACTCGGACAAGGGAGCGTTAGAGGATGATACGATACTGGAAATGGTACTTTCAATACTGGAGTCTACATCAGCTACGAGACAAATACAAGCCACCTGGTCAACTGGTGTGCTTCAACAGATTGCGGAGTTCATGCCTCGGTTCTTTCAGGCTGATGCTGCATCATCGACTATGCTTGCCGTCAAACTCTGTATGAACCTGACAAACAACAAGCCAAAGGCTTGCCAGCCATTCTCAGCGAAGGCTTTTGTCCAGCCACTCGTGCATTCTATCGTTGAAAAGTTCCGGTCAATCAATACAGGGTTGGCACTGGAAAAGCGAACAGAGGTTTCGGATAGCCTGATTTTGAGCCTGGGCGCCGCCATCAATCTCGCGGAGCTGAGCGATCAAATGAGGCTAAACACTGCCGATGACATTGAAACATTGGTTGAGATCTTCCTCGAGGGATTGAAGCGCGCTTCCCAGGTATGTACCTCCTCCGCAATGACGCTCTCAACGATGCTAACTACTTCCCAGGCTGCTTCTGTGGAAGAATCTCGCTCTGGTGTAGCCATCGGGTATCTCGGTGTCCTTCTTGGTAATCTAAGCCTTAACGACATTATAAGAACGAAGGTCCGCACGCTGTTACCGAGCAAGCGACTCGATACGCTAGTGGATAGCATCAAAGACTTTGTTCGTGTGCATCAGCACGTTGACCAGAGGGTAGAAGACTTTGACGGAGTAGAGGGCCAGGAGGCCTTGCAGACCTATACCACACGTCTCATGCTTGTTGTGGAAAGGCTGCAGAATGCGAGCATTTGATGATCTTGCGAAACTATGGAAGATCGACTCTGGCATGCACGCTAGGGTGTTGGTTCATCATTGACCAACGTGCCTGTTCTCTATTTGATTTATTTGTGCTTGTTTACTATTAGGCAAGAACCCATTTCCTTGGTCATGGGCGGGCTTTATACTGGTTAAGTCTTTGGCGGCCACGACATGATACCCCAAATTATGCATATGCAGTCGTTACAGAAACGAGTTCACTTGTACTGTTTACGAAGATGTCGATACCCCAGCGTCTTGGACGGAGAGATAGATAGCAACAACGGTCGTGCAGTGAGGTTCTTCCGGCTAGCAAATCAGCCGTAGCAATCATATTAAAGATGTGCAAAATTACACCAATTGAGCAACATGCCATCCACCCGTCGCCGTTTTGCCCTCTTGTCCCATGGCGTAAGCAGTAGAGGCTAAATGGAGGCTTGTATAACCTCGCACGTACCCGTCCATACGGCTGCACCCGACCCAGGGAGCCGGATCAAGCGACGCAACAGCCGGTATGTGGAGAGTCTTTGCCGTCGGGACAATTTACGAGATTTCTTCTATGAAACTTCCATGCAGCGGGTGTGTAATATCCGCGCAGGCAACTTTTTTCTCGTTCCGCAAAAACTTGCATGTGATTGTTTCGCCTTGAGTCAAGAACGCCCGAAATCATTTCGGCTAAGTTGTATTCTCGGGGCGTCGGGAGAGCGATGGATAGTGTTTGGACATTTCGGAGGTACTTGTTGCTTTGAGTGGTTGTTCTGGAATGGTTTGGTATGGTGGTGGTGTGCTGGACAGCTTTGCGCTAAACTCGAGACGATTGGCAATACGTAAGGCAATGCTTCGAGAAGCTCCGGATTCGTCGGCTGCCGCGTGCACTGTTCGGTTTGGATGGCTAGAACTCGGGAACCCAATACCAGCTGCTCGGTGCCATGCCCAAAGCGATATATCACGGTTGCCCAACTTTGATGTGCGGACGCGAACGCGAGTCGCTGCTGCTATATCGAGAGATGACCCGGCAGACATGACGGCATTGAGACGCGGTTGGGGACTTTTTTTCTGAGCCACGTCTGCTCTCTACCCACGACGCTCGCTGGAGTTTGCGTCTCGTTCTTCCCAACAGCAGCAGTTACAACGCTTGGGCCAGTAAAGTAGCTTGTTTGTCCCACACGCGCATCCATCACCTGCAGCTAGACGGCGTCATTCGGGCTGGAAGCTAGCTCGTACAGGCAATTGCAGGTCCGAACCACCAAACGAAACCTAGGCAGCTACCTCTCAGCAGTCGACTGAGACGACCAACCCTCAAACCTGGCGAGTCGTTCAGCTTCCTTACGACCTTCTACCAAACCCAACAACAAGATGGCGCCCCCACCAAAGCAGAGAAAGGTGGCCATTGTCGGCAGCAGAGCCGTCGGTACGTGATTGTTGAGTGCAGCTTGCGCAAGCTTCACATGCAAATACCAACAAACAGCATACTGACCCAAATGAACAGGCAAGTCGAGTATGACGGTGCAATTCGTCGACGGACACTTTGTCGACAGTTACTACCCGACTATCGAGAATACCTTCAGCAAGATGATCAAGTATAAGAATCAGGACTACGCGACTGAGATTATCGATACGGCTGGCCAGGTACATGAGGTTTTCTTTTCCCCCGCGTCGCGAAGCTCAGCCCAGCTCCACGCCCCACCTTTGCCATGCTTCACGCGCGTCGACTAAGGCCTTGTTTGAGGAACCCGCTGACTCGGGTACTGTCTTCCAGGATGAATACAGTATTCTCAACTCGAAGCACTTTATTGGCATCCATGGCTATATGATTGTCTACTCGGTCGCCTCCAAGCAGAGCTTTGAAATGGCGCGTATCATTCGCGATAAGATCCTGAACCACCTTGTAAGTTTGACACGTGCCATTGTCAGCGCCACTGTCTAACCACCCGTCATTTTAGGCCGTCGAATGGGTTCCCCTTGTCATCGTCGGCAACAAGTCTGACCTGCGTCCCGAGCAACGCCAAGTCACGCCCGAAGACGGTCGCGCCCTCGCCGCAGAGTTCAAGTGTGCCTGGACCGAAGCCAGCGCGCGCTACAACGAGAACGTACAAAAGGCTTTCGAGCTCATAATTGCCGAGGTGGAGCGGTCCCAGAACCCTGGTGAGCCTGCTGGCGGCAGCAAATGTATAGTCATGTAATTGCAAGATTCTTGACTAACATGAGCGCTTCTACCAAGGTGTCGGCGTGGACAAATACGCAGCTCCCCAGAAGGAGCGCGAAGACAGAGAAGAAGCGGCGAAGCAGCACGCATCTCTTGAAGCATCCATTCGATCATCTGACGAACATGCTCAAGAAGACGTAAGAGGCGGTATACTTTCATCTAGTTTGGTGTAGATGGCATAGACGGCGGATGACTTGTTGCGAACGACATCTCTTTAATGGGTTCCGGCTTTTCACTATCCTCATGGAAAGAAACAGTATGTAATGGCGTAATGGTATGAGCGGCGGTGTAACAGGCGTTTTTTACTGGTATCCTGGGTTTAACCTGGTTCTCACTCACGATGTTTTACGGCTGCAGTACTACGTATCACTTTACGTTACTTTCAACAATAGACGGTATACGATTCGTGTCCAACTTTATTGTGTGTGCACGACTGCTCTGACAGAACTGTTTGTCAACGCTGTGTTCTCGATTCGCAAAAGTTGCTCCACATGCCTCGTGCTGGCTTGCGAATGCACCGACCACCACCCACCATCCTACCCACAGACCTTGATTAGGAAGCTCTGAAGCTTTGACAGAAAAGCCACTGGTTTCAACGGCAATTCTGTGCAGTCTGTGCAGCCTACTGTATTTGGTAGTTTGAGCTTTGAGGCTCTGCGAGACACGCTTTATCGTTCCTCTTTCTCTCAAGAGTCTGGCTCGAAGGGTGTTTTATCTCGAACATGTATCTGTGCTGGTATCAGTATGTACGTCATTTATTCTACCTTCCTAAAAGGGCAGGTTTGCAGTACATCCGTCGAGTACAGTACTTTCAATCCCCGTGTATCGCAGCCAAAGTGGTAAGCGCCAAGCTTCATCCTTTTTGGCTCTAGTGCGGGTCGCTCAATCTAATCCCTGTCGGTTGTTTGAGTGCGGTGCGGGACACTGATGAGTCCCGCGTTTTGAACATCTTCTCTATACGAGACTACACACCACCACATACGATCAATTCTGCTCAGCTTACGTTCACTGAGAGACAGACAAGATGCTCGATATGTAAGTTGCTTGTTTTTCCACGACAGGAAAGTGTGGGTTGCTTGAATGCGCACGCGCTGGAGTTTGGGTTGGAGGGGCTGCACTTGAAGGAGGTAGAGATGGAGAGTGTGGAGCGAAATTGGGGAAGACGATAGGACAAGAAGAGATATGGACTAACATTTGTGCCTACAACAGAAACGACTTCATCAAGGAGCGCGGCGGCGACCCAGAAGTAAGTGTTTCTCCACTCTATCTCGCGCGACCTTTGATCTTGTGCCAACGCTAATCCTACGACCAGAAAATCCGCGAGTCCCAGAAAAAGCGATGCGCGCCTGTAGAAATCGTCGACGAGATCATTGCAGACTTTGAAGATCACCGTCGCACACAATACGATGCTACCCAGTTCGGTTCCAAGATAAACGCGGTCCAGAAGAACATCGGTGCTAAGAAGAAGGCCAAGGAAGACGCTTCAGAACTGCTCGAGGAGAAGAAGAAACTAGAGGCCGAGAAGAAGGAAAAGGAGACTGAGGCAGCTGAGAAGCTGGCCAAGCTGCACGCAAAGGCAAAGACGGTTGGAAACTACGTGTACAAAGATGTTCCGGTTAGCGATAACGAGGACAACAATGCGGTTCAGAAGACGTGGGCCCCTGAGGGAAGGAAGGCAGAGTTCAAGCAAGATGGCATCCCACATCATGGTGTACTTGCGCGGTTGAATGGGTATGACCCGGAGAGAGGTACTAAGATTGTTGGTCACAGAGGATACTGCCTGACTGGATACGGTGTATTCCTCAACCAAGCGCTGATCAACTACGGTCTGGAGTTCCTGGTACGTGTGTAAAGAGCCGGGTTTTGAAGAGCGCTGTACTGACTTGATGCTCTCACAGTTTAGCAAAGGTTTCACACCCAACCAACCACCCTTCTTCATGCTCCGCGATCAAATGGCCAAGACAGCGCAACTGTCTGATTTCGACGAGGAACTATACAAGGTCACTGAGAGCAAGGACAAGCCGGAGACCGACAAGTACCTCATTGCCACCTCAGAACAACCCATCTCCGCCCTTCATTCGGAGGAGTGGCTACACGACAAAGAACTACCCATCAAGTACGCCGGCTACTCAACAAACTTCCGAAAAGAAGCTGGTTCGCACGGCAAAGACGCATGGGGAATCTTCCGGATACACCAGTTCGAAAAGGTTGAGCAATTCCTCCTTACAAACCCTGAGAAGTCATGGGAAGCTTTCGACGAGATGTTGGCCAACTCAGAGGAGTTCTACCAGAGCCTGGGTCTGCCTTACCAGGTTGTTGCCATTGTCTCTGGAGCGCTGAACAATGCTGCCTCGATGAAGCGCGATCTGGAGGCTTGGTTCCCCGTCACAGGTGGTGGAGAGTACAAGGAACTCGTTTCCATTTCCAACTGTACCGACTACCAGACTCGCGAGCTGGAGATCAGACATGGTATCAAGAAGCTGAATGCGACTCGTAAGGAGTATGTTCACGCACTCAACGGTACTCGTAAGTTTACTCCCCAATTATTATCTCTCTCTTTGCGGTGAGGGTGGAAATCATGAAAGCTAACACGTTCCGTAACAGTTTGCGCAACCGAACGAACACTCTGCTGCATCCTCGAGAACTACCAGACGCCTGAAGGTTTCGTTGTCCCTGAAGTGCTAAGGAAATACATTCCCGGTCAGCCTGACTTCTTGCCTTTTGTCAAGGAGTGGAGGGCTCCCAAGGAGGACAAGCCCCTTCCTGACCGGACAAAGCAGGCGTAAAGACTGTTGCGGGAATGGCTGCTAGGATAGATATGTAAACAGCGTTAAGCTGGGATACGTACAAGAGGGAGAACTAGATCTACGCCGGGCTATGTTTCTGGTGGACTAGCGAGTTGATTCGTAAACGAAGAACATGGGAATGAGCTTTTCCACATTTTCTGTGCCCTTAAGGGGTGTAGACGTGATCTATGTAACATCTCAATGCATATCGCGTCTAGAGACCACTCTGAGAGGAAAGAATCGACTCTTACAAATCCATCCTTCCAGTCTATCTTGTTGTCCTGTAGCCTCCTTACCCACTTTCTTCCGTCTCCTTCCTACATCGTTCCCTTATTCACTCAATCCTCTTCCCCTTCGTCACCTAACCTATTCTCCCAACTCCCCAACCACCTCCACCCCCTACACACTTTATTCAATTCCCCCAGCGCTGCATTCACCTCCCCTTGTCCATCGTCTGTTTTCCTCCCTTTGAATTCCACAAAAAAGACATAATGCCAATTCCTCACTCCACTCGGCCGTGTATTTATACTCGTCAAATTGATGCCATGCGAGGAGAAGACGGTAAGGCAGTTGGCCAACGCACCAGGATTAGAATGCTCAATCGTAAAAGTGATGAGTGACTTCCAATTCTCTCCATCCGACTTTGGCTTTGCGGTTGTACTAGTAGTAGTTGCAGTTGTGGTGGGTGTGGGATGATGATGATGATGATGATGATGATGATGATGATGATGATGATGATGATGATGTTGTAGTCGACTCTTTCCTCCGTATGACGAAAAACCGCGTACTATTCCCCTTCTTATCGTTGATTTCTTTTGCCAAGACGTCCAGCCCAAATAGCTCTGCAGCGATGAAACTAGATAATGCAGCCGACTCGCCGCTCTTATCCCGACTAGCGATTTCGGCGGCTTTGCTCGTGGAACTCACGTCGTGGCGTTCGGCCGTCTTGAGGTAACGTGTGAGGAAGGACTTGCATTGGCCCCAGGCTTGGGGGTGGGAGTAGAGTTTTTTAATGTGTGAGAATTCTTCTTTTCCGTAGTCTTTGGTAGCTTTGCCATCTTCTCCATCTTGCGTGGTTGTGGTAGGAGTTCCAGGCGAGTAACCCAACAAACAGTGTTTGACATCCACATAAGCCTCGCCACAAACAAGGATATCGGGATACTTGTTGTTTAGGTCGGCGAAGAGGTCGAGAGTGAAGACTACGCTGCCGTTTGAGCTGTTTTCAAAGGGGACGACGCCCCGGTATGCGGTGCCGGATTGGACGGCGGAGAAGACATCCTCGATTGTGATATCGGGAGTTAGCGTTACCGGGGGTGTTGATGTCGGGGGAAAGGCGTCTAGAGCTGCCTGTGGGAGAGTGGTTAGATGAATGTGGGGATATGTGTTGGGAGATGTTGATTTGAATGAGTTGGGGAGAAAGAAAAGGAGAAAAGTATTTCATCATTCCAATGAGGAGAATTTAGTACGGATAGGGGACGAACATGTGACGAGTCATGCTCAAATGAGAAGACGAAACTGAAGGAGAAAAGCTCAAACATGAGAACTGTAATACTGTGAAATAACTCACTTGGTGTGTATAGCTACCTTCTGGGCCCAGGAAGGCTACGGTAGGTCTCTTTTCTTCTGCCATATTCTGTTGTGACCTTTGAAGTTTTGAAAGGTACGCAAGTACATAAAGCATTTGGATTGATCGTTCACTAGACTCGGAATGACGTCGGAACCCGGTATCGGCGCTAGCAAAAACAAACGCTAATTTGTACATCCCCATGGGGCGTGTTACGCCCTATTGTAAGGACCAGGAGCGGTTCGAGTAGCGAATCAAGTACACAGCACAGAGCCTCAAGCGTATCTTCACTAGTGGTCGAGCAATATATAAAGCAATTTTTCATTCAGCTAAAGTTGAGCGAGCGACGAGCTGACACGTTTCTGAGCGAACAATCTGCCTATCCTTCTTCCGTCAAGGACTACTTTTCAAGAGGTTCGCAATCGACGATTGACGATAGCCATCCTTCGGGATCCCTATGCTTTCTAGTCCTTGTTGTAGCTAAGATAGAGCTTTTCAGACCGAGGTTTGGAGAGGTCAAGCCTGATTGAGGCTGCTGCCTCTTTGTGCAAGCGAGAGCGGGTCGTGGTAAGAATGGTGTTGGTCGACCTTGGGAGTATTAGTAGGAGCTTATTGGTAGAAAGATTCTAACATACATTGCAAACCCTCCGTAGGCACTCCCATCTTACAATCTGGAAAGGCGAAGCGTCGTTGCTTCGACTACTCCAGCCTTGATCTCGGACACGTCGTTTTGACTTATCACGCGGGTAGCGGACGTTCCGTCACTCGAAGCGAGTGGGGACGCTACCTCGCAGTCAGCGAGGGCGCACAACCGTCAATCATCGTAGAATTCATCTTCATCATCGTCGAAATCGGCGAGTTGTTCAAAGTTGAGAGCGTAGCGGAGAATGGCGCCGATACCACCAAAGCCCTTGACGAACTGGTTGCCCTCGGAAGAACGGTCGGAAACGAACTCGAGATTGGCACCAAAGTCACGATATTTCTCGGCGAGCCACTCAAGCATGGAGCCTTGGTCGATGACTTCCATCTCTTGACCGGTCTCCTTGTCCATGAAAATGCTTCGGTCCTCTTCTTGCGCCTTGGTGGTGTGGAGGATAATCTCAGAACCTGCAGAGCTCTTCAGAACCCAGCGAGTAATCTCCAAGTTCTCGAAGACGATCAAGGTCTCTGCAGCACCAGCCTCAAGAGCCTTCAGGGTGTCGTCGATACCGTAGCAGACCTTGCCAGAGTCCTTGGAGATGTGGTCGAAGTACTCGTTGATGAGCTTCTTCTCCTGGATAAACTTGACGTTGCTAAGAGTCTCGCCAGCTAACTCAATGGCCTGGTTGAAACCGTTCTCGCCTCCGTAAGATACGTCGACGACCTTGATGACCTTGGACTGCAGACGGTTGTCGAAAAGGTCGGACTGGTTGAGGTCGTTTTTGAAGTCGGCGGAACCAGCGAGAATAATACCAGCTACGTTAACCTTGTCGGCGGTGATGAAGTTCTGTACAGCCAGTTCGGCGACCTTGCGGACGTAGTTGTGGCGCTTTTCTTCACGGAGACGGGCGAAACGCAGAGCGGATTGACCACCACGACCGTGCTTCTTGGGAAGGTCGACTGAGAACCTGTATCTGTTAGTTTCCTTGCATGTCAAGATGTGTTGGTCGCACTCACTTGTGGACAATCTCACGAGTGTTTCCTGACAGGGTGCCAAAGAGCGCACCGTTTCCGTCCATGATGATGAAGCCAAACTTCTGGTCGGATTCGAGCAGCTCGCTCAGTGCCTCGGTATGGAATTTGTTGTCGCAAAGGTATAGCGACGTGTTGATGGGCTTGAAGGGCTCGAAGTCGATGTTGATCTTGCGCTCCTTGCCTTCTGCGGTGATGATTTCACCACAGTAGACAACGAGGCCATTGGGCGGGACCTTGGAGTAGAGCTTGAGACGCTGCTGGGTCGAGGTAATGGCCGAAAGGACGGAGAGACGGTTGACGCGCGACTTGATGTTGGAGGCAGTACCCTAGGAAAATTAGTTTTGGTTACGGCGCAGAAGGGGGAGAAGACGCACGAATTCTTCAGCCAACATCTTCGCAGCGCGAGAAACCTGGTCCTTAGGGGCTATACATGGTCAGTCGCTGGCGCCTGCGCAAGCGTGCAGGTGTCACATACGGATAATGAGGGAAATCATGGATGTGCCATTTCCGCGAGCGGCTTCAAGACGCTTAATCAGCTTCTTGACCTTCCAGATCTCAATGTTCTTCTCGGCCTCATTGGGCTGCTCGTTCTTCCCGGACGACATGGTCGCGGCGGTGTTGTCGATGTGAGAGTTTGGTGTTGGTGGGGTCGAGAGATTTTCTTGTTCAGCGAGGGGCAAGAACAAGCGACGTAGCTGCCGACTGGCGGCGGGAGGAGGGTGGAGAGTGTCAACCTATGCAGCCTTTACTACAACGCGCCTTGGCTGTGTGAAGAAGTGTAGAGTGAAAGGGCAGCCAGCTGGGCTTATGTGAATTTATTGGTCTATGACTGTGCTCGCAAGGCAGTAAGGCAGCACAATTCACCATGGGGCACGAACAGGAGGCTGACACAGGCTCGCTTGCATGGCCACTAAGCGGGCAACGGGCATGAAGCAGCTGCAATGCCCCGTTATCAGACTCGTGCCTTGGGTAGCTCCGGCTGTGGGCAGCTATGACGGCAGACCTGCGGGGCTGCATGATATCCTCGTGATAGCCATCTTGCGCTTCTCCGTCTTTCTATGGGAGAAGTGCCATGCTCGGCGCTTCTTTATATAATCAGGACGGTCATGGATAGCGGCTATCACCCGCAATCCCCAACGCGCAATCTCATCCCGACGATAGCCAGCTATCGATTCAAGTAGCTCCCGCCTCCCTGCAGGGTTTGAATCAACGAGTTTTATACTTCACGTCGCCTGTCCTGCTGCACATGCACTTTTTGGTCGTGCCTTCTTTGTCTATCGTGACTGCCGCTACTCACCATGGATAACAGAGGGAAGCAACCATCCACCTGGGACGCCTACGAGTCGGCCAACCGCCCGTCAATCGACTCGGACACGGAAAGCCACATACAATGGGACGAGCTCTCGAGGCGGCCAAGCGGAGAGAGTAATGCAGGCACGGGGAGGTGGACTGGCACGGTTGGCGAATTACGAAGACGAAGGTGAGCATATCGTGCTTTTCGCGACACACCTGAGCTAACAGACGGCAGATCTTCAGTAGGACAACAGATTAGCGCATTGGGCGAGGTCGGAGGCGTCAACAGCATCAACAACTTTGCGCGGTCGTGGCAGCGTGCAGCAGGCTTCTTCGAAATCACACCCGTGCGACCCTCCTTCCGTATCGAGGACGAAGACGGCGACGATACAGAAGAGTCCGACTTCTCACGCAGCGGCCTTCCGACGCCAGTGCCAGACCAACGATCCGCCCTGCGACAGGCGCTTCAAGAAGGCGGACGACGCGCATCCGACAATGCCATAACAGACGAGGAGCAGGGCGCAACGGAGCGGACGCAATTGCTGCCCAATACCGTCGAACAGCGTCTGAGAGGGAGAGGGTCGAGCATATTCCAGATCGAGCCCTCGCTATCCTCACCTTTCGGAGCCAGCTATGGCACGGGATATGGCAGTCTGAGTTCGCGCGTGAACGAGTCGTCCATGCGCCATGCTGGCCGCCTCTTCACAGAGCAACAACTGAAGGGCGTCGCAGAGCCAGAACAAGAACGAGAACCACTCTTGGTCAAGCAGGTCGAAGAAGACGGGCACATCATCAACGTAGTCGTTGGTCAATCAACCCTACCACAGACGATATTCAATTCGGTCAACGTCTTGGTCGGTGTTGGGCTGCTCACGCTGCCACTTGCGCTCAAGTACTCTGGATGGCTGATAGGTATGGTTTTCCTGGCGTGGTCGGCTGTAGTGACCGGCTATACTGCAAAGCTACTTGCCAAATGTCTCGATGTTGATGGTTCCCTCATCACCTTCGCTGATCTTGCATATGTCTCCTTTGGAACCAAAGCACGAGTGGCCACTAGCATTCTGTTCTCTTTGGAGTTACTAGCAGCATGTGTCGCATTAGTCGTCCTCTTCGCTGACAGCATGGACGCTCTCATTCCCGGTTGGGACGTCTTCCAGTGGAAGATTGTCTGTGGGTTGATATTGATACCACTGAGCTTCCTACCCCTGCGCTTCTTGTCTTTCACATCTATTCTGGGTGTAATGTCCTGCTTTGGAAGTGAGTCAAAAACTATGCACACCATCTCCGTAGGCTAACAGAAAGTAGTCACACTCGCCATCTGGATCGACGGGCTCGCCAAACCTGAGGCCCCTGGATCCATTCGCCAGCCAGCTACTCAGTACCTATTCCCAGACAACTGGCTTACCGTACCGCTCTCTATTGGCCTTCTCATGTCTCCTTGGGGTGGTCATTCTGTCTTCCCGAACATCTACCGTGACATGCGACATCCGTACAAGTACAGGAAAGCAGTCAACGTCACCTACATCTTCACCTACCTCATCGACGTTGGTATGGCCTGCGCGGGTATCCTCATGTTCGGAGACGGTGTCAAGGAGGAAGTGACAAGCAACATATTCCTGACTCCTGGCTTTCCTCCAGGCATCTCCGTTTTTATTGCCATCTGTATCGCCATCATTCCATTAACCAAGATTCCGCTTAACGCAAGGCCTATTGTCAGCACGCTGGAGGTTCTCTTCGGTCTGGACACGCGCTCTCTGGCCATGTCTTCATCCATCGATGGCATGAGTGGCCTTACTCGGGGGGCGCTAAAGATCACCCTTCGCATCGTCACTATCGTCATATTTGTTGTCATCGCCATCATCTTCCCTTCGTTCGATCGCATCATGACGCTTCTCGGCAGTGTCGCCTGCTTCAGCATTTGTATTATCCTTCCTTTGGCGTTTCATCTGAAGTTGTTTGGAAAAGAGATATCTAGCGGAGAGAAGACGATGAATTGGGTGTTGATTGTCGTCAGCACTATCATGGCTATTGTCAGCACTGTTTTTGCATGTCTACCTAAAGAGATGATTGGGGCTTAGAAACGAAGACGTCAAGATCACGACAATGTTGGATGGAAAAAAAAAGTTGTCTAGTAATATGTTTTCATTTCGTTAAGGATTTGATATCCAGAGGTAATAAGCATGGCGTTTTTTGTTGCAGTTCTCTTTATGTTGGGCAGGCTGTTTCAGCATCAGCTACTCATACTACAATGTATATCATCAAGTGAGTCTGAGGTCTATAGGGTTTTACAGTGAAGTTGGCCCAGATCGAGGTTAGACCGTACTTCACATTCCTTTTTCACCTACTGCTACACTGACCTTTGCTTACGTTGCTTATACGAACTTACCTGGATCGCCTACCCGCGACTCTATGCAGGGTCTGTCCGACTTACTCAGGTCATACACTCACTGCACATCGCCTTCAATGAGATTTCTACTTTTATTTGCAAGTTCCGCTCTAGTCCTCGCTGTCCCGAACAATCTTCCCAATTTTACTATCGGCTCCGAACATAACCTTACCTTCGCCAATGACAATCACATCGATGGTCCAGTCACAACAGCCGACGACGATTCATGGAAACAGACCGTGGCCCGAGGCGCAAAGCTCCTTAGAGGCATGAAAGCCAGCGACGCCGAAGCCGCAACTCTTTACGATCTAGGCGCCAGCGCCGAGAGCCCCTTCGATGGCGACCTCATTGACAAGTTACGTGAGTGGGGCTACAACGACGCCACCGATGCCCTCGCCAAACAAGCAGATCCCGAATGCAATTTCGACAGCTCAAGCGGAAACATACTGAAGAAAGCTTTTGGCGACCTAAGCATCGGGACCAAGCCGAAGAGTCAAGGCGGCCCAAACCAATGTTTCCTAATCGAGCACTTTGACAGCCCAGCTGTGAAGAAAGGCGATGATGGCAAGATGCCCTTGAGAGCCGATCAACGATATGACGTCTGCGACAAGGAATACCGGGTCACTGGCGCCGAGCACACAATCGGTGTCAACGTAGACGCAGGCGCAGTATATGCTATCAACCTCTCTTCCGCTGCTAAAGCTGCGCGTCGCCTCTGGAGACGCGCCCCGAGTGTCGACGAACTCCCTGCTATACGCAGCGTCTCGGATATCGCGTGGGCATTTTGGAATCGTGTACACGGTGATGCGGAGAGTTTGCAAAATATTAGGTATCTCTTTGTTACGATGATTATCAACAAGGAGACGAATCAACACATTAAGCGTGCGTTGGGTACGTTGAATCCACCGAAAGAGGACGTGGAAGGCTGGCCAGGACATGAGTTCGATATGGAGTCGGATGCGGGGAAAGCCTTGCTAGGAATTCCTGTTGGGCGATGGGCTGGGTACTTTCTCATGCAACATAAGAGGCAGTTGGGTGGGAATAAATGGATCTCAAAGGTTAGAGTGTTCAAGTCTGAGAAGGCGGGCAGTTGGCCGTACTTTTTGTTCTATGTTGACGGTGCCACGGCTTCTAGGACAGGCGCAGACAAGATGGAGGTAGCAGGTGTGTACGATAGGCCAAGATTGGTAAGACGAAGTGAGGACGGAAAACATATTGTTCGAGAGTATGTTGTGAGGACGAGGATACCAAAGTCAAGGGGCTGAGCCTCTGTTGTGCATCTTGTGTTTCTCTCGTTTCCGTCCCGGCATATTTCACCATAATCACATTTATATATACTCGACACTCCTAAAACTGTCAACAAAAACTCTAATAATCAAGCAACGTGTGCTGAGGAAATACCAAGTTCAAATAGTTGACCCTTCTCACTGCAAAAGCTGACTAACACCTATCGGTCTCTTCACCGCAGAACCTCCGATGCGCAAAGCTTCAAGTACGTCAATCCAGTAAAAAACCACAGCCAACGCCTGTAACAGCCACGCAAACCCTCAAAACGTCTACATCCGGCCCCTACACACCCTTACGGCACACGCCAAAAGACTCTCGCGATCAAATCCTTCACAAAAACATCATGGATTCTCTAGGAGGCGGCATCGCTAATGCAGACCTAAGCAAGCTATCCGACCGCGACAAGCAAGAACTCCAGCAGTTCGCTATGAACGAGGGTCAGAAGGCCAGGATCCAATCTTGTATGGCTTTCCTCTCTATTCACCCCCCCTTCCCCCTTCTTCACCATTCCTCTCTACATCTCATTACTCCCCTCTGTCGCCTTCCTCTATTCTACACCCGCTCATCTCGAGCGCGTACGAAGTGTAACCACTGGCTAACGTATTGTGTGATTGAATATAGCGATACACTCCCTAACCGACACATGTTTCCGCAAATGCATCCCCGCGGGTACCGTCAAAGCGGGCAAATTGGATAAATACGAGGAGCCGTGTATGAGGCAGTGTGTGGATAGGTTCTTGGATGCGAATATGGTTGTACTGAGGGAGTTGGAGAGGTTGAGGGGATAGAGATGATCGGGAGATGACATGTAGGAGGTGCTTGGGAAATGGGAAACATGTGGTCGAAGTACCTGGGATGAGAAGATGACGGGGACGCATGTGTATGATAACGAGGGGATATAACGACCTGTACAACACCGCATGGCGGGAAATGTTTAGTGCATGGTATTAGGAATGAAGAAACGAGATGTACGATAGATATAGACTGAGCGCAGTATTGGCATCACAAGTCGTACCAGCAAATTGATCATGGGTGACGAATGTTTGCGTATCTGCAAGATCAATTCACAATGTATGCACTGCAATCACGGTTGATAACAAGACATCACAACTCAAGGACAATGAGATGATTGAGGACCAAGTTCAATATTGGCGTCATGTGGAAATCTGATTCATTCGAGTCACCGTGACTACGTTTATCCCATGAACGCCCGCCATGCATAATACATCGCTTTTCCATTGCCGGGTATAACCAGACCCTATCATGACCATGCCTTCCCTTTTTACAGAGACCACCTCTTTAAACGATGGCGAGCTTGGTGGCCGCAATGTCGAGAGCATCGACATCGGCGGTGAGGCGGCAGAAAGCCTTCTTTGAGCCGTCGGGGCGGATCAGGGTGTTGATCTTGACACAGCTGACGTCGTACTGCTTCTTGAGGGCGGCGGCGATTTGGCGCTTGTTGGCCTTGACGTTGCAGATGAAGACGAGGGTGTTGTTCTCCTCAATCTTCTTCATGGCGGACTCGGTGTTGAGAGGGTGGATGAGGACCTTCTCAGCGTCCATGCGGGGGGCATGGGGGACCGACTTGCGAGGGTACTTGCCGGCGCGGGACAGCTCGAGGGTCTTGGGGCTGGGACGGGTTAGCAGGCAAAACTTTTTTGTATTGGGGTTGGGCATACCGGTGGAAGCTGGTGTTCTTCCTGATCGCGCGCTTCTTGTTCGCATACGACTGTCATCTCGTTAATTGTGCCCATCACACGAGAAGTACAGCCCGTCAGAGGTATGTTTCTGACACGACTCAAGAGGATCAAGGGAGGCTTACGCCACGGAGAGCCGCTTTGGCAGCAGCGTTGGCCTGCTTGCCAGTCTTGGTAGGGGCTGCGATTGATGTTAGCCATGAGCGCAAATTGAGGGTAGCTGATCGAGGCGCATTCGCAAAGTTCCCTTTCCGACAGGCTGCTGCCACGGTCCGGTGCCACTTTGCGACTTGTATGCTCCTCCTCGATTTCGCGGTTGCGGTATTTGCGTAGACGTACTCTTGGATACGGCCTTGGGTCCCATTTTGGCGGTTTGGTTGGTCCTGGTGTTAGTGTCGAGAGTCGCAGTCGAAAAGTTGTGGTTTTTGCTCCAAACGAAAGTCGTCTGTGGGAACAAAGCACGCTAACGCACTAGCGTCAAATCCTTGCATCTGAACTCTGGGCGCCTCTCAACCATCACTTTATCTTAGCCATGTGATTGCGACACCAGAAAAATCATGGCCGTCAAAAAGCGCCAAAAGACAATATCGCATGGTCGCCCACCGATCAGCAGACCGAAAGAGCGGATGACCTCTGAGCGCTCCAGGACTATCATTCGGACCCATCACCGACTACAGAAGGAGCATGCAGCAGCTTTAAAGAAGGGGGATGCAAACTTAGCTGAAGAAATTGCGCGAGCTATTGAGAAGAATGGGGGAATCAAGACTTATCAAGCTGCAAGCAAGCAAGGCCAGGCGAAAGACAGAGGAGGTGATTCTAGCAAGTTGTTAGTCGAATGGCTCGAACGATCCAAAGTCTTGGACTCGAAAGCACGAGGCCGTCGCAGTGCTGGCAACGCCGAACTCAGATGCCTCGAGGTTGGAGCTCTATCGACCAAAAATGAGATTTCGAAGTACTCAAGCGCCATCGACATGACGAGGATTGATCTGAACAGCCAGGGCCCAGGCATCGAAAAACAGGATTTCATGGAGCGACCACTTCCTACATGTGATGATGAGCGCTTCGATATCATTTCTCTATCGTTGGTGCTCAACTATGTCCCGGATGCCGTTGGTCGAGGGGAGATGTTGAAACGCATCACAGAGTTTTTGAGGAAGAGCATTGCGCGGACTGAACCCCCCAATTCAGTCTTGCCAGCGCTGTTCTTTGTTTTACCATTACCATGTGTTGACAACTCACGCTACCTCGATGAAGAGCTACTCCTGCGAATTATGCGCGACTTGGGCTTTACGATGAGATTCAACAAGAACACTTCAAAATTGTGTTACTACCTGTTCGCCCTAACAAATGAACCGAAAGCTACAAGGGCCGAGAAAAAGAAGATTAGAGACGGGCCGGGAATGAACAATTTCTGCATTGTTGTGGAATGAACACCGGAACAACAGCAACAGATTGAGATTGGGTGGCTGTGGCGGTCATCTAGAGACGGGATAATAGCACATTGCAGCAAGCGCTCAGGCAAGACCAGTATGCGCTCGAGCGCAAGTCGTTTGCTGACCAATTTCTATTTGGCTTGATAGTTATCATACTCATGTCTTCGCGAGGGCTATGAGGCAAAGACAATATGCTGGTTATAATCACTAGCGCTCTCTTCCGGGATGAGAATCGATAGATTCTTTCTCGCGGCAACGACAACGACGACGCGTTCAGGACGCCGATGGCTACTCCAACGAACAAGCTGCGTAGCGGAAGCTCTTATCCTGGTTGGAAGATGAGCATCTCGTTGATGGTGCTGCGGCTCCCGTACCGATACCTACATCCGTTCCGTTGATGTGTGGGTACTTGTGGTCTGGTCAATGGTTTACAAACCAGGTTCAGTTTGGAAGTGACGTGGTGAAATTCGGGATCATACAGAAGTTTAGTCGCTCAAGGTATCACGGATGTCTACCGAGTTGACAATATCCACCGGACCATCACCGGACCACACTCGGTATTTTTGTGTAATAGACAGGTTCTAGATTCACTGTTAGCCACCATATGTATTACCCCACCGAAAAAGTCCCGAAGTGCGACGAAGCGGTTTCTTTGAAACGCCTTGGATCCCGAACCACTAGCGCATCTCCAAACAACATACTCGCAGCATTCTCTCCGATCAGTGCATTGTTGTGCGACTAAGCAATCAGTCGTAGAACACCGCTTGTAGTGTTCGACATATGAATCTCGGCTCTCGGTAGAGCGTCTCAAATTTGCTCATGGTGTTGCCGCCTTCTCATTTCGCTCATGTTTGATCTCCATTTAGCGCATCCTTCCTCTTAGCATCTCATCACCTACGATCCCTTCAACCCATCATACCAAGCATTACACAAGCTTTTTCTGAAACGAACTCAGACCCGTTCAGCCCCAAACGCCGGTCTGTCAACAGACGCATATCACTGGGGTAAGGCCGGCAAGAGGCGAGATGCGCGCGGGCTCGAGGCCGGCTCTTCTCTGCAGTGTTCGGTGGGTCCAGACGGCGGAGTTGATCGTGAGATGAGCTTATTGCCATTCCTCCCGGGCGCAAATTTCCACATGTTAGTTTCCTGCGTGGCGCTGCGTTAGGTTAGTAAATTAAAATGAGATGTCAGCGTTGTTCGAGGGCTTTATCTAGTCGGGCGGGGACGCCCTTTGGTAGGGTTTCAACTTTCCAAAACTCTCCATCACGAAGTCGAACTTCAGTCACTCTTTCTTCGCAAGCCGCTGAGCTGCTGCCATTCATTACCAGGACTCGTTGATACGATCCTTCACACTCATTTTCAACAAGTCGTCACTGCATATCCATCTTTCATCGCTCCATCAAACAAACATCAGACACCATGAGGTCCACCTTCTTCTCTATCCTACCCATCGCGGGTCTCGCTGTCGCTGAGTCGGTCTGCACACAGAAGACTGTCACTACGACTGCATACGAAACAGTGTATGAGACTGCAAAGCCCGCTCTTGTTGCGGACGCTACCGCCAGCCAGTCTGGCGCTTGCTCCTCCAGGAGCACCGTCTACACTACCACTTACGAGAAGGTATACGTCACTGTCACTCCTGGCGCTGCTACTCCCGATGCCGTCGAGGAATCGACGACTACAAGCACCACCGAGACTTACACCACGGTCACCGTTCGCCCAACAGGTGGATACTTTGGCAACTTCTCCACCTCTGCTCTCTTCAAGCCAGAGGCATCATCGAACGCGCCATCATACCCTACCATGAGCGTTGCGCCGACTACTCAGCTGGACTACTCCTCGTTGGCCTACACTCCTGTACCCCAGAGTGAAGCCTCGAAATCTTACGAGGCCGCGCAGTCTTCTCAGGCCGCGCAATCTTACGAGGCCGCCGCGGTGTCCACCTACGCTGCGTCCAGCCCGGCCGCTCCAGCTCCCACCTCAGGTGCAGGCTCCAAGCGTGGCGAAGCTACCTTCTACGGCGGAAACACTTCTGGTGGCATGTGCTCCTTCACCGGCTACACTATCCCCGCTGGTATCTACGGCACCGCGCTCTCCGACTCCAACTGGGACACCGCCAACAACTGCGGTGTCTGCGTCAGCGTAACAGGCCCGGATGGAAACAAGGTCACCGCCATGGTTACTGACCAGTGCCCTGGGTAAGTCACCTCTACGAATATCCCAGAGACATGGCGATACTAACTCTAAGTGCAGATGCGGCCCCAACCATCTTGACCTGTACCCCGACGCCTTCGCCAAGCTCGCCGAGCCTTCCAAGGGCGTTATCCCTATCTCCTGGGACGTCGTCCCCTGCGGCATCACCACCCCCATTGTCCTTAAGAACAAAGAAGGCACCAGCAAATTCTGGTTCAGCATGCAAGTCATGAACTCCAACATGCCCGTCTCCAAGCTCGAGGTCTCCACCGACGGAGGCGCGACCTGGAAGGCTACCACACGCCAGGAGTACAACTACTTTGAGAACCCGGCTGGTTTCGGCGCCGACAGCGTTGATGTCAAGGTTACGAGCAGCGACGGTAAGAGCATTGTTGTCAAGAGCGTTAGCATTGCTGCGAATAGCAAGAAGACTGCTGGTAGCAACTTCGCTTAGGCTTTAGTTGAGATAACGGGTGCTTACTTCGATTCGTTGTTTTTTTGGCTGATGGGCTTAACCTTTGATGACGGATGATTATTTGATGGATACCTTTCTTGACGCCTTGTTAATTCGCTTCTAAGTATCTTCATGGTACATACTTTTCGCAACGACAGATTGTCGTCACCGCATCACTTTTAACAATGAAGTGACACTATTTCATCACTTTCTTGATTCTTTGCGTGCTTTCTCGTGCTCCGTCTTCTTCCACTTCTTGTCTCATAAATTGGCGTCCGTGCAACGCATTGGCAATATTGCCTGTCTGTATCTTGGTCTTTGCCGAATGAAGCAGGCAATTGGTCGTTTTGACGACGTGCTAAGAAGCGTCGTCGTAGGAAAACAATGGTTGGTGGTAGTAACCGTGAAGCACATATCGACATGCGCAACAGTGGCAACGGAAATAATTGATGTTGAATCTGCTGACACTCTACTAGATTGCGTCACCAGTAGATGCCTAATGCAACCAGGTATCACGGCTACCGTCGTGCAAACCCGCCCAGAAACTACAAATTCTCATCCTCAACCTACCACTACCCTTGAATTCTCTTTAATATCCAAAACCGCGACTCTAGTGAATATGCCAGGCCATGGATTTCATTGTTAGTAATACCAGAAGTGGGATAACATAACTCTGGTGACAAGGCACAATTAGGTAAGACATATGGTATTACTATGTACAGTCATAAGGCTTTACAAGCCACAAGGGTATTGGTTAAGCCTTGAAAGATTCCAGACACCTTTTATCATAACCATCTATCTACGTCTCCATGTTGATTTACAACATGCCAATAACAAACCCAAGAGCACCAAGACCCATAGCAGCACCCGCAGTGTGGATAGCAGCGGGGTTATTGGTGGCACTTGCCGCCACAGTGTTGGTGTTGGTCTGAGTGGTAGTAGCAACCAAGCCATCACTACCAGTGGTAACGATAACAGCAACAGAAGTAGTCGAGATAACGTCAGTGACAGAGACAGTGTTTGTGACTGAAACGGTGTTGGTGTCGACAGCGGTTGTTTGCGCAGCGCCTGCGCCACCCGCAGCAACGGTGGTGGTGCTGTATGAGCAGTCGGTCAAGAGACGGTATTGGTCGCTGTCGTCATCGTTGTCGTTGTCGTTGTACTGTCTGACGCAAGCCTCGCAATTCGGGATGAGCGTGTTGGCGTTGTTGGCTGTGCAGATGCACTGGAGTACAGCGGATGAATCGTCGTCTGCAGGAAGGTCAGGTTGGTGGGTTTGTGCATGAGATGTAAAACTTACTGCTGTCGTTCTTGCAGCCGTTCACGGCTGCACCAACTTGTGCGCAAACATCGGTGCACTCAGCGGGGATGTTGTCAAAGTCGAAATTGGTGTCTTGAGCCGCAGTGAGAGCCGCAAAGGCAGAAACGAAAGCGAGCTTGGAGAAGAGCATGTTGGGTTGTTTGAATTCGACTTGTTGGAAGTGAAAGTAGTGAGTTTGAAGTGGCTGAAGATTGTTGAAAGGGCTGGATATTGTTGTGATTGATTTTCTACATGTCGAACCCAGTAACTCTTATACCACATCTACTCTTCACCCCATCCGCCATGCTCCGACCATATTTGTGTACAGCGACCAGGTACCAAATTCTGAAGCCGTTGTATCCGAGTTCGCTCGTGCACTTGATGAGATACTATGCACCGTCGACGTCTGGCGCAGACTCTACAAGTTCGATAGAGGGTATGAGAGCGCCGAGAGTGAAAGGGCCCGTTGAAAAGTGACATCAGGCGTGTTACTCGCCTATCATTCTGTTCGAAGCTAAGTGCCAGGTACAGGGAGTCTAGGCGTCGCCAAGTATCCCAAGCTGTGTGAAGGTCTCTCGGAGCCATGCGATGGTCGGGGAGACTTCACAGCCCGACGTCATTGGTGCTTGGCGTTGACAAAGTGGATCATCCGAGTGACCGAGCGATCATGGCGATCACCCGGAAGCTTGTCACTGCTGCAGAACGCGCCGAGTTTGCGGAGAGAAAGACTCGAGAATTGTCATCTTAGACTGCATGAAACGTCGACGATCCGGCTGTACGGCAAACGTCGATGGGGCCGCGGCGAGCTTTCCTATGGTATTTGCTGATCCTGCATGACGTAAGCATGCAAATGTTCACTCGCATGGAGTAAGTTTGGCATGTGTTGTATTGTTCTTCAGAATAAGTAGTGGGTTTGACTTCCGCTTTCGAACGGCTCGTTGAGAAACCAGAAGTCGTCTAGCATCCACTCTGATGTCTCACCGAAGTCAAAGGCATCAATGCGCAGTCCAGCGTCGGCGAAAGAATCTGTCGATAGTGCTTCAGCGGAGTGACCGGAGTGGCCATTGATCTGTTTGGTTGCTCGTGGAGCGTCCTGAAGCAGAACCTGTCTTGTGTCAATACTGCAGAGCTATGCGGGCTATGAGCAACTGACCTCATTGGCAGGAGGCTGTCCACTAATATCTTGTCGAGAAAGCATCTTGTACAATAAGCGTGAAACTTGGTCTATTGCCTGAAGCTTGACGGCGTCGGCTCGTAGAGGCTCGAACTGTAGATTGACCAACCCAACTGCAGCACCTGCGTATGGCTTATTAGTTTCATCTCAAGCAGGAAGCGTAACGGGAGTAAGTCTTACTCAGAACCCAATACTGCCGACAACCACGACCAGCCAACATTGCTCTCTCTTCTTGGAGGTGAAGTGCCTGCTGTGCACAGCTTTCTAATACTGTCTTGGCAACTGGCCCTACCATAGTATCTATGCCAATATTAGCCGCATGCGCTAGGTGCGAGACCAAAACATACCGTTGTTTTTACTAGCATGGTAAGCTACATGGCAGGCCAGTAGGGCGGCTCGATAGTAGTCGCTGCGGGTACAACATAGTGCGAGGCTTCCAGATGCCGTCAGAGCCGTGTGCAACCTCGCAGTTGCAGTTGCAGCCTCGAGCAGTGCGATGCTCGAATATTGATTTTCCGTGTTCATTGTCGTCCCCATATCAGCCGTGTTCGCTGCGTGCAAGATGACCAACAACTGTCGAAGTTGTAGGTCAAGAAGTGTGCGAGCTTGAAGGGATCTTGGATCAGTCCACTTGGGTATTCGTCCCAAGTGCTCTTGAACGGTATTTGCATGCGACAGGGTATCCTGGAAGCTGAGTCTCGACTGCAAGCTATTTGCTAGGGTACAGAGTCTCGAACGCAAGTCAAGCGATCTCATAGAGACGAAGAGGAATGATGTGTCGGTAAATACATCTACTGGCTGCGATGTTGGAAGCCCCTCTGAGCTGGGACGCAGTTGTGCATCGTTAATATTGGCAGGTGCTGCGCAATCAGACTCGAGTCTGGAAACCATCGATGCAGTACCTGCGAAGGAATTAAATAAGCTCAGTTTACTGTCCAAGGCATATTTACCTTTGTCGATGGATGCTTGTAGCTCTAACTCTACCTATGTACATCATACGGATCAGTGTGGTTCTCGAACTCATTTTGCGCATGCGAAGTACTAACAGATGTTGCCCATAGTCTTCGTCGCATTTCTCCCTCGAATGTTGAGCAGCGACCACCAAAGTGAGCAGGATCTCTGTGCATTCCACAGGAAATCATGAGACCTATATGCGCTTGTACTTCGTGGTAGTAATCTTTCGCCTTGTGCGAGGTTGCCGAAAGAGCCAACAGACGCAAACATCGCACCTGGAGAGAGGCGAGTGTTCTGTGCTTGCTACTCTGCCGCCTGAGCCAAGCTTCACAGGCTTTAATCCACAAGACTGCTTGGGTATGGAGCGTTGAACCGTTGCGACTATACTGTGGGCTTTCGTTGGTATTGACACAGATCGTACACGCTAGGATTGAAAGTACGACGGCATCCATATCTGCAATATCAGGATTTTCAACGTCCCAGTATCGCTCATATGCTTCCTGGAATGTTGGTATATGCACGATTCTGTACGTTGTCTCAAAGGTATCAAGATATTTCTGTACGAGCCGGTCGGTGGTCGATCGATCTGGAAGGAGATCCCTTAGGTTCGAAACGGATACAACATTATATGCAGACACATCGACGCGCGCTCTTTTACCGACAGACATCATATCTTGAGCCAGTCGCTGAGCGGTTGAGTTATGGAAGACGCTTTTCATGAAAACCCGGAGTTCTGGGAACTGTCAGTGTCAGCGGATAAGAAACAACTTGGTAGTTATGTCATTCTCACATAGGCCATTATAGATGTTGGTGAAGAAGGTCCATAGCAGAAGCTCCCATAATGACGACCTTTGAGAAGCCCCCTCAGAGAAGCAGGACTGCTGGCGGTTTCGCTTATTTTTGCAGAACAGCATAATGCTTCTAACGAAACGCTCTTCTGAACAAGCAACTGCTGCTCCAGTAGAGCGACTTGTCGTTCGAGATGCTTTACTCGGTCTTGAGCAGTTATGTCCGACTTGACAAACTCCGATGGGTTGAATAGTTTGGGAACGTCAAGGTGCGACCGTGGCGCCTCTTCGGCCCCAGGAGTAGCTGTCTTTGACAGGGAACATCGTCGCCTTTTCGGAGGTCGTTCGTGCGAGCCATCGGAAGAAGGAGTCCGGTTTTGTGTGTCGTAAGCGCATTCCTCTGCAATACCGCCTTTGATGCATCTGTCACATGGTAATTTCCTGTCGCATCTCAACTTTCTTCTTCGACAGTCGTTGCACGAGAGAACCGCTCGCTGTCTCCTTTGGGCCTTGAATTCTTCCATGTTGTCCGATGAAGCAATGAAACAGAGTCAATGTTGGCAGCAAGAAAGTCGCATTGAGTGGTCATCTCGGATTTCGTCCTCGGAGATCGTTACTTAACGCCGAAGGAGCCGGAGAAGGCGACGTTACAAAGCACATACTACATTGAGATGCATGCATATGCACATGAAAGTTCAATATGGGACCCTTGTCAGTCTTCGTGGACGGGCAAGTATCGCGTTGAGTGGTGGTGTCGAGTTGTTCTGATCTCAGCTCAGATTCATGTGCTCCGTTCCGAGAATAGGAAGATCAGCACTGCCCTTATTACCGCACGCTGCTACATTCCCAGTCTGCGCGTGGTAACAGACATCTGCTCATTTGGTATATATCTACACATTTGATCTCACTCGAGCCTGCGAGATATTATAGTACTGAAGTGCAGAGCGAATGGGTTTTATTAACGACTCATACGTCATCCATGGATTTCATTGCCCGAAACCAATGACTTTCCAGAACCAATAGTTGTACGTTCGTATCTCATACCGGGGTATTATTGCTATTGAATAGCTGCACACACAACAGCTAGAGCACTCGCCAGACGAACATGCTCCCATAGCACACCCGAGGGCCTGAATGCATGCTTTTTCGTAACTCCCATCAATATGACCCCCAGACGAACAAGCACGAAGCAAAAGTTTACCATAGGTTCCCTTTACCGAGGCTGCACGGCCGGAAAGTAGCGAGGGCCAGAGTATCCATGGAACTGGACGCTCTCAATGTCGATATTGCCGTCGTGTTTCGGGCTCCAGAACTTGAGCAGGACATATCTTCCAGAACTGCAAGGTGTGTCAGTGACCGTCTGATTTTCCAGTGCCAACAAGTCAAACTTACATTGCAGGGTGGAATTTGATCGTGATCTTATTCTCGTTCTTTCCAATGAAAAATCGATAACGTGGACGGATAAGTGATTCGGCGTCTATTACAGGCTCAGAGGGCTCGATGCGGCTGGGTGTAGTTACACGAGACGCTCGAATAGGCTCTAGATAGCGCTCCCTTCGCTCCCGCCATTCGCTGTATGTGCTGTGGTCGAGAGCAGGTGCACGACGCAAAGGACCGAGGCGTGGAACAATTTCATCATCATCGTCGTCACTATCTGGGCGCCAGCGGCTTTCTCTTCGAATGCGGTCAGCCATTATAGCAGCACTAGGTAGCTCTTCATTTGAGTCGGATTCTTCATCGCTAGCAGCAGTAGTAACGGTAAACGGTGGTGGAGTGGGTGCGGAAATGCCAGTGGGGCCGCTGTACGAGTAGTCTGCTGCATGATCACAGTTGTCACCGTCTGCCTCGTCTTCATGCTCTACCATCTGGCGCATGATGCGTCGACGTTCAGAATCGGAACGCAAAGACGATATCCAGTTCTCAGATTCAGCATTGAGTCTCTGACTGCGAAGCCGAAGGTTCTCAATACGCTCCTCCATCTCCTCTTGAGTGCCCTGGCGCGAGTACTGCCACACTGAAGGATCTTCGAGAGCCTCTCTCAACGATATCTGTTCGTTGGCCTCGATCGGAGAGCTAGGTGTAGGAGACATGAGCGGCGAGCTTGTGTCGTAGTGGAGGTTATAGGCGGAGGTGCCAGATAGGAGTTCATCTTCAGACATGGATACAAATACAAGACCTTCTTGAACACTGTTTTTTCCCCGTTAGTATTGATCAAAGTTGAGATGGAGACACATACGGAGCCGTAAATCCACGGTCCGGTGCTCGAATGACAATCTTCTCCAAGGCGAAGGGGGCTTCCCCGATATGCTTCAGTAGAAGATTGCACTGGGAGCTCTCACTGCAGTATACACTTTTGTCGTTCCTCAACACGTTTTGTACCCTATACAACCCAGGCGGGCTGTCCCTGCGATGCTCACCGCCGTCGCAGCTCACAATTTCCATTCGCAGACGTCCACGGACGACCTGACCCTTGTGACCGTACTTGAAGCACATGTACTCATTAGCCGCACCAGTGTCATGTTCCAGCTTCCGTCGCTTGTGTCTGCGCTCGCTGTTGACTTGTACGATGGGGCTACGAGGCCGGGTTTGCGTATTTGACATGGTAAAGGGGTTGCTGATTGGTAGGTCATTCAACGAGTCCAGGACGTCGTTGGTAGCGTCCATGTCGGCTAAGCGTTGTTCTCTTGTGCGGGCCTGTGAGCGGCGGAGGTAACGTTCGCTTGGTGTAGCACGAGGTCGGTTGGGGTTCGCGGTGGATGGCCGCCTGGAGAGATTATCTGCGGCATCGCTGTCACGTGGGGGGCCGAACAGGCGGTGCAGTGGGCCTCTTCTGTTAGATGTGCGAGTGCGCACGCGCCTGGCGGTGTCTCTGGGCGACGACGTCGCATCGTAAACGGGTGGCGTCGGTTCGGCTAGGGAGCGCAGCGCATTCCGTGAGGCGCTGGTAGACGCCGTACGGGAGAGATTCGGAGGCGACGTCGAAGCATGAGGAAAGTCAAAGCCGCCGGTCGTGAAGGGGAATGCCGCGGGCGGTGGGGACGGAGATGAGGGCGGTCTGGGCATTGGTGACGTCGGTGCTCGCTCCCATTGAAGAGACGAGATCTGGCGCAGTGGTTAGATTTTGGGCAGAGTCGGGACTAGTGATTTGCGCTATGTGGACAGGGTGAAGGATAGCGTGGTTGGCACTTGTCGAGGCTGAGAGGACGAACAAGCAAAGGCAGCATCTGGTCGGGTCCCGTGTAGTTGGCACGCAGGTGACGCGGGGCGAAGCTAGCAGCACGGGCCACGAGCAGAGCCTCACAAGGTACGGGCAAGGTGCGAGGTAATGCCGTCACCGCTAGCCGTCGTCACTCGGCCTTCTGCAAGACGGCACCTCAGCTTGGACTAGCCCTATCCTATTACCTGGACTGATCGCGCTGTCGAGAACCCACGTCCATTACGCGTCTTCCCACCAACAAAGCACACCACAGCGCGTCTCAGAACACCATGACCGATCTCACCGAATCTTCTGCGATACCTCCGCCGGCGACCAATGGCGCATTGCCAGGCGCATTGCCGTCCGAGGATGCAGCTAGCCAGACAGTAGCCGCCATTGCTGAAGCCGACAAGATCTCGGCAGGTAAGAGCGATCCCGTTGCAAGTCGCAGCAGCAGTCCTAAACCTCGCGCGCAGATGAAATAGCCCTTTACGACCGTCAGATCCGCCTGTGGGGCGTTCAAGCGCAACAGAAGATCCGTACCGCCAACATCCTGCTCGTCTCCATCAAAGCCCTTGCCAACGAAATCGCCAAGAACCTTGTCCTCGCCGGCATAGGCTCCATCACACTCGCAGACCACGAAGTCGTGACCCAAGATGACTTGGGCGCGCAATTCTTCCTCAGCGACGCCGATGTAGGCAAAAACCGTGCCGAGGCAGCGTTGCCTCAAGTGCAGAAGCTCAATCCCCGCGTCACCGTCAAGGCCCTCACCACCGATATTCGCAATGAGCAAGACCCCAACTTCTACGCCGCCTACGACGTCATCATATGCACTGATATGGACTTCCTCTCTACCTCCGCCGTCAACGCTGGTGCGCGCATAGCACGGAAACCTTTTTACGCGGGCGCATCTCACGGCATGTACGGTTACATCTTCGCCGACCTGGTCGAGCACAACTTCGTCATCGAGCGTGAGAAGAGCAACCGCGATACACAGGTTGGCGCTGAGAGCACGACAAGGAGTGTCAAGGGCGTCCAGATCAAGAAGGAGAACGGAAAGGTGGTTGAGCTGGTCAGCAAGCAGGAACTCTACAGTCCATTGATGCTGGTCAAGGACAGTCCGCTCCCAGCAGAGATCGCAAACAACGCCAGGAAACTGAAGAAGGTCCACCCACTACTCACCTGCGTACGCGCATTATGGGAGTACCAGCGCAACGGCCACGGTATCTACCCTTCGCATACACCAGCAGATCTGCAGCTCTTCACCACCATCGCGAACCTCAAGCACAAGGAGCTCATTTTACCTGCTGACTCCCTTAAAGCCGAAGTCCTTCGTAGCTTCCTGCAGAACCTCGGTAGCGAACTGGCACCCGTTACGGCTTTCTTGGGTGGTCAGCTAGCACAAGACGTCATCAACGTACTGGGACAACGTGAACAGCCCATTCAGAACCTCATGTTGTTTGATGGCGAAGACAGTACAGGACCGGTATACGCGCTTCATCCTATCTTCCCTGGTACACCGCTACCAATCATGTCGAGCATGCCTGTGAGCGCTCCGATCACGATTGTCTAGGTTTTTGAGAGCAGGGACACGGAACAAGACCAGCAGAGTTTTACATTGCGCGGTTGGATGACCGTGTTGGGAGATAGGGAAAAAGAGTAATGCAGGAGCATCTAGAGGGCATAGCACATGATTGAAAGATACCCAAATGAAGTCGCTGAGTAACAGCGAAGGAGCAATGAAATTCTATATTCTTGAACTCTCACTAACAAGTCGTGCTCAAGTCTATCTACTGCGTCTTCTTCTCATCCTTCACATCCCCCTTCCCACTCCTCCCAAACAGCACCCAACACAACCCCAAGAACGCTAGCAAAACCACGCCAACGGTCCCTCCCTCGACCCACCCAGCCTTCCTTGTATTAAGCACTGGCACACGAATCCACTCTATCAATCCACCATCCTGCACCGCCATTCCCCTAAATTCTCGATCCGTGCTACCCTCCGCTGTCTGATTCCGCACCTCAGGTTCCACATGCATGAACCTAGTCTTCGGCCCAAACAATCCCTCGTACCCCAGATGTGCGCGATCAAACGGATTAGACGTATGCTGCGCGCCACTCTCGGCCCGACAAGCCCAAAAGACTACAGGCCAGGGGACCGGCAGTGTAGCATGAGATTTGGCCTCAGCAGGCATGTAGCGTAGATGCAAGGGTATGCTGACATTCCAGTGCCCCTCTGGTATCTCGCGATGCGTTGGTAAATCTCCCCAAGCATTCTCCCCGCCAGCACCGAGGTCTACTTTGGGGTAGTCAATCTTCTCTGGTTTGGGTACGCCGAGTTCGAAGAGCGCGGCGGACCCCCAGGCTGGAACTACCCAGTCTGGGGCTTCGAGGTCTGTGGCTCCGGATAGACTGCGGAGGCGCTTTAGGTTTTTACTTTTGAGGAAGAGGGCGTCGGAGAATTGGTATTTGTCGATGAAGAGGTAGGAGGGGAGGGTCAAGTGGGTGTGAAGTTTGCAGGAGCGGTCCGGGGGTGTGAGATTGTGTGCAGGGAAGGTGAGTGTTAGTGTTGGGTGGAGGCCTGTTGGTTGGTTGAACGAGGTGCTGTATGTTAGAGGGTGGAGTTTGGGTTGTGCTGTTGGGTTCTTGGAGGCCTGGAGGAGGGGGTAGTGTCGGGTTGGGGTTTGGAAACGTGTGGGTTCTGCGTGTTGTCAGTATCGCGCAGTCATACTATGGTGGAATTGAAATAGTGAATGGAATAGACATACTCGGTCGTTCATCTTGCCCTAACACTGTTAAGAAGCCTCCAAATTGGATGTCTTCCGGATCTGCGTTCCCCTCCAGACTCAACACCCCAATCTCGACTGTTGCGTCTTTACTTGGAAGCCTGATTTTCTCAGTCCAGCCTTTGGCATCTTCTCCGGCCAGTTCCCAGCCATTGGGATCTTTTGCCTGTGCCCATCCAGCTGTCAGGACCACGCTTCTCGAGATAGTGTCGTAGTCCACATCGAGGTAGTTTGACGTAACGAAGCTATTGACCCTATTGTGACAATAATGACTCGAATTTTCTCCGACTCCACAAAAGGCTTGCTGGAAGGGGCCTTTCATCCTGTCGATCTCATCCAAGTAATCGTAGTACTGCGAGGTAGCCGACATTGAGAAGCGCTCTGAGAGGACAGGCATCTTGGTGGAGCTGGAGGATGTAGATAAACACTTCAGATCTGGGGAAATAAGGGAGTGAAGCCCTGAACATAGTGCATCTTCAGGCGTATCTGAGAGAGGCGTGAAGAAGACGTGTAGACCTGGTGAGACACGTGATGTGAATGGTGGAGTAGATGCGTAAGGCCTTGGGGATGTCCAGCGTAGGTGTATTTCGTGCCATTGTTGGAAGAATTTGCTTATCTGTATGATGTTAGCCGAAGAACCTCCAGCTTGTGGACTGGCAAGTCAATGCAAATGTACATACCTCTTCAGGTAGCTCATCCAGACCGAGTGTGATACGGTGTTCCTTTGCTGCAACGACATTGTCCAAGGCAAAGTACGGACCATGCTTGTCTTCGCCGACTTCAAGTTGATCGGGAGTAAACTCCTCTGGTTTCTTGACTACATATGTTATTCGTTGTTTCATGATTGTTGCGAGAAGGGTGTCGATATTCCTCCACGCGTAATGCTCGCGATGCTATATGAGTAAAGTAGTCTAGCCCTGATTCGGCGCTAGCGTATGAGCATCCCTGATGGTGCCTCGGCGGTGCGTCATCGGCCTTCACTGGCGCCAGCTTCTAGATTCACAGCTCTGGAGCACAAGACATCCACCGTGTTCTTTCACATGCTGTCGCCACCCGGGGGCTACTTGAGCTACTTTATGTATACCTATTGAGGTGTTTATCGGTTCACTACTTGCAACAACATGCACTTTCCCAGCTTCGTCTATCCAGCGCTGCTGGCAGCGAGTGGCGCAGAAGCCCTCCGCTCCGACAAAGTCAAGCTCGCAAACATTCAAAGTCTCACGCTGCGCAAAGACCAGAAAACCTCTGCAAGACGCGTTGATCCGATTCCTCAGGTACGCACTCACCTCACGCGTCCACCGTACCCCTCTATGCAGCCTACTGACACATCTTAGTTGAAATGTATTGGCGGTTCGGCACGCGGCCTCTATGAACCTGATGTAATGCGATGCAAGAACAGCGGTTCCGACTACGACGAAAACTCCATACAATGGACATGCACCGCCTCGCTTCCCGAAGAATTCAAGCTCGGTTCTACAGACGTCATCTGCGAGGGCTACGATTACCCCGAAGATCCATACATCCTGAAGGGCAGCTGTGGTGTAGAGTACCGCCTCATACTCACGGAGAAAGGGCGAGAGAAATATGGCAAAGGAAGAGGAGGATGGCAGGGTGACGACGACGAGGACCGACGTGATGGGCCGAAGACCATGGGTGAGAAGATTGCTGGTGGATTGTTCTGGATGCTATTTGGAGGTGTCGTGCTGTGGATGATATACTCTGCGTTGAGAAACCGCGCGCAAGGCCCTGATGGTGGTGTAGCAGGAGGCAACAGACCTGGTTGGGGCGGCGGTGGTGGTGGATGGGGAGGAGGCTACAACGATGACAACGACGACCCGCCTCCACCATATTATCCGAACAACCCAAGCAACCCTAGCAATCCCAAAGCAGGTTACGGTGCGACACAAGGCTGGAGACCTGGCTTCTGGTCTGGTGCTGCAGGTGGTGCTGCCGCCGGGTGGGCTGCCGGTCAGTTTGGCAACAGAGGGAACAGGAACAACCAGACTGGCGGCTGGGGTGCTGGAAGCGGGAGCGGCAGTCGCTGGAACAACGGTGGGGAAGGGAGCTCAAGGAGTTCATCTGGTGACAGTTTCTCCAGCCCTAGGCATGAGAGCACTGGGTTTGGAGGAACATCACGCAGATGATGAGTTAGTGGGAAGTTTTTTATTGGCCTAAGAATGATACCCCTATTTTTGCATTATGAAGACCATTCCCATGAGTTCTGCGCTTACGGGCATGTGTATGTGAAGATGAAGTAAGAATGTTAGGAAAAAGGGTTGACAAAACTGAAGTGCCTCTCGCTCGCACCAAGCAATCTCGCCATGCTCATAGCCCAAGTAATAGTACAAGCGCCTCAGTAACGTCCTAAAGCAGCAGAAGTCTCCAAGCCTCTTTCCCACTTAGCTCACCTACCCACCTCATCCCCATCTCCAGCCCTCCAAGGAATATCCTCCTTCCCAACGTTAACACAAGTCAACCACCCCACCTTCTGCCCCTCAACATCAAGCAAGCACTCATTCCTTGCCAACTCCTCCACATAAACACTCGCCTCCCTCTTCAGCATCGCCAAATCTTCACTCAAGTTCTGCACAGAAGACGGCATCACCTGTTCCATCATACGTCTCATATCCTCATAAGGCATATACCCTTCTCCTTTCCTGATCTTCCTAAACACAGTACCGCGTAAGAGGGGCTTCTTGCTGTTATTGTCTAGCTCGGTGAGTTCCTTGCCAAGGATGGAGCGGAATGTGGACACTATGAACCAGGTGTCGAATTCCGAGTTTGTCACGGGGGAGACGGCGTGAGAGTTGGCGTTGCGGCCCACATGGATTGTCAGGAGGAGGAGGGAGCGTTCGACTTCCGTGCAGAGGTGGTTTAGTGAAGCGCTCTTGGTGGTGATGAGGCGAAGGATTTCTTCTGGGAGGTTGGAGCGGGGGGTGGGCCAGGGCCAGCAGGGATGGGCGCCAGACATGTGGATTAGTGCTTCGGTGTAGATTAAGCCGTTTTGGAGGGAGAGGGAGAGGAGAAGCCAGCGTGCAGGATCATTCTTGATTGCGCGGAAGAGGGCATGTCGGTGTTGGAGAAGCGTGGCATTGATCTGGGAAGTCAAGCTGGGAAGGCTTTCCAGACAACCCAAGTTCCTAGCAGTCTTCATGAGATTCTCAGAGTGCGTGAGTGAGGCGGCGATGTTGGCAGCTGAGAGGTCTATGGGTATGTTGTAGAATGTGTTGAAGATCTGATCGTATAAGTGGATGGTGGCGGCGTGATCTGTGGGGTTGCAAAAAGAAGGCTTGTACTCTGGGTCTTCGTTCTTCATTGTAATCTTGATGTTCTTGAGTGTACCGTTATTAACGTCTTCGATTACTGGTCGCTCTCCGGTGGCTTGCTGTTGTACTAGCAGGATCTTGCCATCAACTTCTTCAATAATGTATGAAGCACACTGTGCGCCTATTGTGCTAGTAGCCATGCTTGAAAGTGACTTGGCGAACCACGAAGAAAATCGCGCTAGGATGTTGCTATGCAGTTGCCACTGTTTCGACGGAGTGACCAGTTCTGTCTTGATGAACACATCCCCAGTATTAAAGATGGAGAAGAACTCTGCGGGTGTGTAATGCATCAGCGATGTCGGGGTTGGATACTGGAAACCGTTTGCAAAATATGAAGAAGTCTGTACGCGTGTGAGCTACGTTGACGGAATGGAACGCTGGATGTATGCACCACTGTGCCATCATAAGACGGCTCATCATGTATGCTTGGAGTCAAGGAACCTGGTGTGACCATTGCCGCATAAACAACCACTGGCCGTGGAGTGCTCGTTGAACCGTTGTCTCGTGGGAGGGAATAATCAGGTGAGAGTGCACTATTTGTATCGTCGACCTGTGACGAGGAAGTGGCACCGGATCTGGAAGACGATGATCTCGTTCTTGGCGAGTGTTTAGACGAGCCTGATGGTAAGCTGGGAGTTTTCGAATCATCATCACTGATGTTCGGGACTGTATTCTGTAGTCCTGTAGAGCCTGATGTCGAGATTATTGAGGCATGGCGTTTGCGCGCCTGCGTTGGTGACTCTGAACGGATGCGCTTATCCATGAAGATTTTCTAAGAGTCTGGAGGTAAAAGAACGGCTGATTGGTATCCTAGTTGTACTCGATTCCGTTGTGGGAGTGAGATCAGAGTTAGAAGTGAGGATGTATAGTCGTATAGCCCACGTGGGCGGTTTTTGCATAGTTAATGCTAAATTGGTTCTATTATACGAACATTCAACGCTGGTATACCGCCTTAAATAAGGACAGGAGCACAGGTGTAGCCGATGTGGAGCGGAAGTGCATAGAGTTCGGTGTGCTCAAGCAAACCAACTATGACAAAGTGAGAGACAACTCGCAATATTGGAGAGTGTCTCTCAGCGACTTGTAGCGAACGAATCCACAATCTATGACTCGGAGATCTATGACATGAGCGACAGTGCCTGATAACCAATTTTGAGTCCGTCACATAGCAGCGAACGCGATCGTGCGGAGAAAGATCGGACGGAAGCGAAAGCTTGATATGCAAGGAATTGTCTACATTTCTGGTTGGGATCAGCACGGAAGATTGCGTGGACCAAGAAGAAATAAGACAATGTGTAAATTATCAAGAGACTGGGAAGATGCTCCTATGTCTTAGATATACTTCCTAGGTGACGGTAAGACATACTAGTCCCTTCGCATACTCAGACGACTACAGCTTACATGCTAAGAAAGGTATATTCCAGTTTCTGCTAGTGGCCTCAGCCATGCTGCATGAGACGCGCAACACACCACGGTTGTCTCTAATGGTTTTGAAGCGGCGTGCCTCGGATGATGACTAGGCAGGCCGATGTCGGAGTGACTCAGAAGCTGCACAAGTACTAATATTAAAATCTTCGCTTGCTTTTGGAACAGGTTTCTCTTTCGTATTACTGTAAGCCTTCTATATTGATGGACTGTCGGATGAGTGAAAGTAGTTGTCGACGAAGGTTCTGGATGACAGCGCAATGCAGGGGGGAAAGTGCCGTAGCGTCCTGAAGAGTGGGGTTCACCATGTGCGAGGAGCTCAAGCGGACGCATGATTTTCATGTAGCCAATCACATTGCGAGAGTATGAGATAGCATGCAGCGAAGTGAATTCGGCGTTCCGACGCATCGCCAGCATTTTCAGAGACGTGTTTTCATCGACGATGAATACCTAGGTAGCTATCAAACGAGGGGTTAAACATGACGTCACGGTAACGCTGATTTTAGATTTGCCAGCCGCTACCGCCGAGGTCACATGAATTTCATAGCAGGAGAGCGAACCTGATTAATCTGTGAACCACAAAAGCCTGGTCTTACCCCGGTTGTTAATCCTTTACTATGCAAAACTCGTACGATTTCTCTTGAACACACCACAAGTCTCCACTGTTAGCCTGGCGGAGGCTAGCTCACTGTGTCGGAGTTATGACCGCGTCAATGGGAGTGCTGCCAACATCACTGCCGCCTACTGCGCCTGGCGATCTCCCGTCCATGGGAACACAAGACGATTACGCTTCCAGCAGTCTTGCATACGACTTGATCAGGTTCACGCCTGCGCCGACTGTCATCTTAGATGCATCGCTCTTCGTGCGCCATGTCTCAGATTCGTTAGTGTAGTCCAAGACAAGCGTCGTCCGATGCCTCGATTGTCTGCTAACATTTCTAAGTTATGTGATTGTTTCAGAGGCAAGCGATCGCGTCAAGCTTGTAGGCCGACATGCGGATGACATTTTCGACGTCAAATTTACCATCCCAGCATTCACTTCAGCTCGTGAGCTAGTAAGCACCGCATGTCGAACCGGGAAACTACAGCAGACGAAAGTTGTGACAGATAAGGGTGTTGCCTGGAGCTTGAGAGCTATCCCAATTATCCGCCAAGGAACTTTGCGCTGCGTCCAGATGGAGTTTTTCGACATTACTGAGGACCATAGGCGGCAGCTTGAGTTCAGGGAACGGTCCTATCAGAACGAAACATTTCACCTGCTGGTAGCGACTATCAAGGATTATGCCATCTTCATGCTGGACCCGACTGGGCATGTGGCGACTTGGAATGCAGGCGCCCAAGGATTTAAAGGATACACGCCTTCTGAGATCATCGGCAAACATTTCTCAACTTTCTATTCCCAAGAGGACCGCGATAATGACAAACCAGGAAGAGAGTTACGAGATGCCCTCCGCGACGGAAGATGCGAAGATGAGGGTTGGCGTTTCCGCAAGGATGGCTCCAGATTTTGGGCAAACGTCGTCATCACACCGGTATACAAGGACAATGTTTTGCTCGGCTTCTCTAAAGTCACAAGGGATTTGACGGAAAGACGGAAAGCAGAGAACAGTCTTATCGCCGCCTACGAGGAGGCGTCGAAGCTCAAATCGGAGTTCCTGGCCAACATGAGCCACGAGATCCGCACACCCATGCACGGCATGCTGTCCGCGCTAACGTTGCTACTTGATACGAAACTGGATAATAATCAACGAGAGCTTACACGGATCATCCAAGAGTCTGGAGACGTGCTTCTCCAGCTGATCGATGACTTCCTGGATTTTAGCAAGCTCGCTTCAGGTAGCTTTTCCATCAGCAACGACATCATAAGCGTGAGTGATGTCATTCAGTCAGTATTCCGAGCACATCAGACCTGTCACAGTCCTGATGTCAAGTTGGAGATTGAACTGGACGACAATCTACCAAGGTCAGCTGAAGGAGACTCTTTGCGTTATCGACAGATAGTACAGAACCTTCTATCAAATGCGACCAAATTCACCGAGCAGGGCTACGTACGCATCGTGGCTCGCCTACAAAAAGAAGACCAAGACTACTTCACTATCTTGACGGAGGTGATAGATTCTGGCATCGGCGTGCCAGCAAGCGGCTCACAAACGCTATTCACCCCTTTTACTCAAATCGACAACTCTACAACGAAGAGGTACAAAGGCACAGGATTAGGCCTGAGCATTTGCAAGTCTCTGGCTGAGCTCATGGGTGGAAATATTGGCTTTCATCCTAATCCCGAAGGTCCTGGCAGTGTGTTCTGGTTCACAGCCAGGCTCAAGAAATGCAATCAGCTCAAGGCTCTAGAAGTCCTCCAAGAAGGGATGGCTGGACTGAAGATCTCATCACCCGCAGTGGCCGACCCTATGGAAACACTCAAATCAGTTACTGCCAATAAACGTTTGCTACTAGCGGAGGATAACGCTATTAATCGGAAGGTCATGACACGGATGCTCGCAGGCTTAGGATTTGACGAAGTTGACACGGCAGCGGACGGTAAAGAAGCTGTCTCCAAAGCGTTACAGAAGCCTGGATACGACCTGATTTTGATGGATGTCAACATGCCTATTCAAGACGGTCTTAGCGCTACCAAAGATATCCGGGCTAAAGGACTGCAGGTTCCCATCGTAGCGATGACAGCAAACGCGCTCAAAGGACAAGCAGAATCATATATTGCTAAAGGCATGACGGGTTACATTGCCAAACCAGTTGATAGAACCCTTCTGATAAAGCTTCTGATCGGATGTTTACAGCAGAACGTTGCCGGCTGAAGAAGTATCCAGAGGATGGAGATAGTCGCCCAAGAAAACAACCCGTCGCAGTGCGAAACCTATGCTACAATACTGCTCGAGGCTATACAGCAGCGTCGTGGGACACGACCAACGCACTGCGATGAATAGCATGATAGGAGCATGCAAGAAGCAACCACTACCAATCAAATTTACCATAGCCTGCACATCGAGGCTCCTTCCAACCGCCAATCAATGTCCAGGGTATACAGCAATTCCGGCGCTGCTTCTCCGAGACGTATAACCACAGAGATGATGCCTCAACCCCCCCTAAGTTGCATTTCGTCTAGTGCAGCTAGTCACGGGGCTCGGCTCAAGCTTAGCCTGATATCTTCTCTGCTGTCTTCCGAGTTTTACGGATTCAGGCTTGGTATACGAGATCAAGTTTTACGTGTGGGGGCGCCCTTTACCCAGCGAACGGCTCCGCGGGTACAGCAACCGACAATTCTCTCTGAGAAGCGCCCCACCTTCGCACATACACACCACAACCAAATTCCCATTGTGGTTGCCAGAATCTTGCAGTAGCGCTACAGAGTTCTTGTGATGACATGCGCATTGATTTCAGCAAATATCTAGTCTATGTGTATAGCATTGTCAGAACCGACGGGTATACAACCCGTTCCCCTCTTACTTGGGGCTAAAACCCGAACCGAACCGTCGGTGCACAGGCCCCAAAGAAGCAATTCGGTCCTTCGTCCCACCAAACACCACTGCAGACTATGGAGAGTATGAGTACCTTCTTCCATCTATCGCATCAAGAATAGGACATATTGTGTCCTCATCAAGACTTTCAGTCTAACTAACCCTACTAAAGAATCTTACGTTGCTTCAAGGAGCTTTACGATTGGATGACCCCTGTGGCACGAGACCGTCCCAATCAGGTCTTCTGCACCTCGCCCCTTCGCAGTAGATTTTGTACCCCAAAGCGGTGTAGGCGCTGCTCACTCCTCTCACCTGATGGTGGCTGAGCGTAATCGTTAACCATTTCCGCGGATATCCTCGCCGTTCACTATCGATAGTCAAGGAGCACGATCTGCTCGTGGATACGACCTAATGTTATTATATGCTACAACGGTGGAAGCCGATCGAATTTTCACCTGCTGGGGAAGAAAAGTTAAATCGTATTATGCTTACTATACACAACCGTGGAACCCCGACCCAGATAAGCAGTGCCAACGGGGATGGAGCAATTTAATATCCTTGCACCGATCGCGTCTCGACATGACGCCTAGGCTGGGACGAACACCTGGTCCGCAATTATGCAGCTGTTTCTGATGTCCACCTTAGGGCCAGGCACATGCAGGCCCACATCTCTTTGGAGGAATATAACCGTCTTACTTTGTCGACTCAGCCCTGCCACTACATTCTCTGTAATTGGCAGCCTGTACTGGTGCCACGACAATGAAATGGCCCCCGAAAGGATGCTTAAAAAATGGTGGAGCGTCTTTGGCTGCTGGTTCATGCCACAGCTTCTGTTTTTATTCTTCTTGACGCCGCGCGACGCTCTTTTTGTGACTGAGGGTAGCAGGCGTCTACCAAGTCCTGCATGACTTTGGAGACTGAGCTGCCCAGTGTATCTGCCTAACATAGAACAACAGTCTCATACAACGCTGCTATAGAGAGTCCCAGACTAATAAAGACCGCTTCGATCGGAGTGCGAGAGGTCCACGATGGCAGTCGTTCCACATGATCTAACGCACATTTGCTCCCTAAAGCGCTACCATCCCCAGCAATTAGACCAGTAGCAGAACGTCACGACTCACGAACATTGCCTGGGCGGAAGGGACGTCACATTCATACCTGGAAATCTCCACTTCTCATGGTTGCTTTTTTTCTTGTGGGCTTAGCAATGAGCGTAACGCATTGCATCTTTTATTCAAAGCTCAAAGGCCAGATAGTTGGCATAGCCGATCTGCAAAAGGAGAAAATCAGGTAGCAGCGGGCTCCAAATTCTGTATGTTGGGCAGTTGGCTGATGGCGTCAGATTTGGCACTGCATTTGCTTTGCTCGCCCAGATCTGCCTAGGGGCAAGCGTCTGGACTGCGCGCCCTCGGCGGCCCTGGAGGACCCTCATGAGAAAGGATTTGACTCTCAGAGTCCTGAATTCGGCATTTGGGGCTGATACATCGGTGTTGTCTTTGCTCAACATCGATATGTGGAAGCGGCTGAAGGTAGGATCGATAATGGCTTTCCGCGCATGGTAAGTGGTTTGCTCCGCCTGCTGAACTTCTTTTGACGTGCGTCTAGGGGTCTGTTGATACCACCGTTCTTTACACCTGCGACTCTGTTCATATTCGAAGGCACCAACGTTGAAAACATCTTTGCAGCTATACCGCATCCGTCCATCGCAAACGTCAGCGCAGCGCATCTGTTCACTTACTCGCCACCCTCCCTACGCGGGACGATACAGTACGAAACCGACGTGAACCGGATCTTCACTGGACCAAGGACCGTCATGAACCTCTTGGCTACTGCTACTTCATCCCTCGGTGAGATACTGCCGCTAGATCTGCCTTTCAACAACTCAGCTTACTCCGTGGACTTCTACGCTCCAGTGGTCAAGTGCGGAGATTCCAACGAGATGGAAAAACATGCTATATACGAGTTCTTACAGAAACAGATAGCTAGGAATAATAGTGCGCTAGAGGAGACGGACGATGCATACATCAGGCTTTGTACCTACTTACAACAGCTCCGGAGACTTTACAGCAGTTTCGCACCCTTGTCAACAAACACCCTCAAGACCGATGAACGAACTTGGGATGACATTCCTGCGGCCTGAAATCGATGGCCAAGGCAAACGGGTCAAGTCACGCCATTATCAAATCTGTTGCCCGCATAATGCATCATATAGTCTAGAGATCTCGCAATACCATGGACTGCAGAACGTATTAGGCAAATACGAAGTTAGCCATATCATGTCTTTCCCGAACGAGCAGCCGAATGAAATCTCAAACATGACTCAACGTGCATACGCAGCACCCGTGTGGGTTGTATGCGACCAACTTGTCGGAAAGCTGGCGTGGCTGAATGACACGAGTATTGAAGATGAGCAGCAAGCAGCAGCTCAGTTTAGTGCCATCGACTCGCCCATCCAGCGCACCAGTCTACTAGGTTCCAAGGACTTGGATGCATGCTTTGAGTTTGATAAGAGAAGGAACTGTACAAGGATCAAAACATGTCGACAGCCTTCGACTTGAGCGATCAGCTACTGGAGGATAAGGCGATGGCGAGGAATCTCATGCTAGATGTCTTGATTGAAGAGTTGAGCTTCAACCTGACCGTCAGTATGATGCACAACCGCCTACTAACGTGAGTACGACAAGCTTCATTCCACCCGCATATGTGCTGATTCGTATAGTGACATGGCCAACACGACCGTTAAACTCACCACCGAGTAAACTGCTACAACTACAAAGCTTACGGCCTGTTCGTCTCCTACGCTCTCACCAACGTATTCGCTCTTGTCTGCGTCGGTCTCGGGTTGACATCTTACATCCACGACGGTGCAATGCCAGGCAAAAGGATGCACGACATTGTACAAACTGTCCGTAATCCTAAGTTCCAAGACAGCCCTTCTTTAGGCTCCAGAACGACGAGTTTGGGCGCAAATGTCGGCCCAGATGGAGCTGTAGAACCGAGACTAGCAATTGTGGATCCAGGAGAAGGTAGTAACGATGGTAGGACTAGGCCGTTTCGAAGTATAGGATGGTCTAGTGATGCGGGAAGAGTCGAGGATAGGGAACTTGTATGAAGCGCGCAAGATCTTAGTTTCCACTCGAATGTAACGACACCATATTGACCGAATGCGTTTCTGCACATGCGACACCGTCGGCCCGAACCTGTGGTATACGTGCCATGCTACATCCACCACGAATCTACGTGTCGATGTTACCCCGAAGCACTCGTGAATCCAGCGCCGGGCCGACGCCTCGTTCCAATGACAAGACATGCGTAGCAAGTTCAAGAAGCCTCCTGCAACCCGAAAGCCCACCAACGTGAACTTCAGCAAATCGCAGCTTGACCTAGACTCGGAACGGAAGGTCGCGGAAACCATACATCTCGTATCGCGTCAGCGCGATGGACCGGCGCATGCACATGCATGTTGCTTAAGCGATTGCGGCCCGCGTTTTCAGTTCATTGTTTACCCACGCATCTACGAGAATGTTGTCGTAACATTTTCGCAATAATGGTATCTCTGGTATTGGGATTGATACAGTAGCATCTGAGGGTTGAAAGTTTGTTGAGATGATGACCATTGTTGGTGTGCATGTGGCGACGGGAACTGAGTGCGCTCACTGGCTTTGAATTTGGTGAGCAGCCACGTGCACAGGTATGTGTGTATACCAATGAGCTCCGCTACATCCATGTCGGCTTGTACATAGCCGAAAGTATGACAGATGCACGTCTCTATTGCGTAGACTCAGATGTGGTGGTGGCGGATGTGTGCATCAGGCGCAGCCAAGTGAATACTGAGTGGGGGTTCTTTTTCTAAGATAGGTTTCCGCATATCAGTTGCAGTCGTTGACGGGTAGCATAGAGAGGTCGTAGTTGTGATGACAGGACTATGGACAAGCTGTTGGTCCATGGAATCTCGAGTCAGCCTTCCGTCGTGTGCCCGAGTGACTTTTCGTTCTCTCATCCACCAACATGCGTAGAAGAATCAGGACTGGATCTACAAGAAAGACTGACGTTGATAACGTGAGTTGTCCAGCCAATCAACTCCTCCAACATGAGGTAATGCAAGCTGATGCGAGATCTCATCTCGTACTACGTCGTGGGATACTCGCATGTTTCGACTAACCTCATAGGCAGCGAGGCATACGTGCGAAGCTCGTGGGTTCTCGAGATACCTCAAACGACCGTATGTCACGGCTTGGAAGCGTATGACCTCAACACCAACAGTTGGTGGCGGAGTTGACCGACTGTTGGGAAGCTTGGAGTTGGCTTAGCTCTTAACATATACCGTACCACTAATACATCGCCCAGGAAGAACGCTCGGTCAAGGTCTGGCAGCGAAAAGGTATAAGAGACGGTCTCTCCATGCCATATACTTTCTCGCTAGCTAGCTTTCAACCTCCAGTCCATCATCCAGGTCTACAATATCTTATCCTCATCCGATATTTACAATGCAACTCACCAACCTCCTCCCTCTTATCACCACTCTCGCAGCCATGACCGTACACGCTCTCCCCAAACCCTCCACTATCGCGGAGCGCCAGTCACCCGGAATCGGCATAATCCGCTTCTACGCGGGTTCCGGATGCGAAGAGCCATGGCTAGAGGACACTGTCTTCTTTCAGGGCGACAAGTGTCGCAGTAACGAGTACACGGGACCATATGGTAGCTTTAGGGTACAACAGAACGGATTCACCAGGACTGGTATGTAACAGCGTTTCCTTAGCGTGGAAAACAAGCTAATGAGTGATCACAGCGCGATTCTTCGTCAACCCAGTGTGCAATGGCTTTGGATCCGGAAACTACAATGATGTTCTTCCTGGAGAGACTAAGTGCTTTGCTGGCATGGTTACTTCATACAGCTTCTTGTAGTGGAGATATCAAGTGGGCGGTGGATCTTGAGATAATGGCGAAAGGGGGCGCGGTACGGTGTGAGGGTAGTGGCATAGTGTCAGATAGATTAGCTGCAGGTGTGTCTGTCGCTCGTTAACAATCACAATGGATTTGCGAATCCATGTTCCCATAATTTCTGATATCTGATGCCGCACCATCCAATGTCGAGGCTTATAAGTCGTTTTGCTCGTCTAATAGGTGATTGTGAATAATATTTCCGTATTTGTGTCCTGATTGGGTATCTATTCCTTCTCCTGCAAGAACTCCACAACCGCTGGAATATATTAGCGCAGTTCTTGCTAGGATACGTATATATCGCTGCTTACCTTTGATGAACTCCTCGGGCTTCTCACTAATGACCCAGTGACCACAATCTATGTCCACCAGCTCGAACCTAGGGAAGAAACGACCGATGATTGGAAGCGTCTCGTCGCTCACGTAGTGGCTCTTGGTGCCTCGGATGAAGAGGGCTCTCTTGCTAAACGAAGTCTCGTCCGGGTTGGTGAAGGGAAAGTCCGCCATGTTATCGAGCGCCTTGGTAAGGATGCTCACAGGTATGCGGAACTTGAGAGGCGCGCCTGGTTCACCTCTCATGAGGTTGGTCAGGAGGAATTGGCGAACTGGTAGATCCTTTGCGTAAGGCTCCATAAGCTTATCTGCCTCCTTCTGGCTCTTGGGCTGTGACTTCTCGACATGCTGCATGCCTTCTGCGTACTTGGGGAAGTCGCTTGATAGTGCCGCATCCACTGGCGCATTATCCACCGGTATGATATTTGCGCAGCAGTCTGGGTTCCTGAGTGCCATGGTCATGACTGTCTTCGCACCCATCGAGTGTCCTATAAGCGTGGCATTCTTGAGCTCGTGCTTCTTAAGAAAGGCTTCTACGTCTTCAGCGAGCGTAGTGTAGTTGTGGACTTTATCGTGAGGAGATTCGCCGTGGTTTCGTGTGTCGATGGCGTATACGGGACGCTTTAGGACGCGCGCAAGTGCACTGGAAGCGCTGTGTCAGTCAAGTTCCAGCCAAGACATTCCAAAGAGAGATCCATACTTTCCAACACCCTGGTTATTCCTCTTGCTCCCGAACAAGCCATGTACAATCACGATCGGATCTCCATCGGCCTTGCCCGAGTCATCATGAAGCCGATACGCAAGGTCGACGACTCTCAAATTCGCCGACGCGTGAAATGAGCGCGTCCATGCCGTCGGTAAAGTCGCGTTCGATATGCGTATGCGATTGGTTTGTTTCGGGAGAGTGAAAGCTGCCGAGAAAGGTTGTATGCTTCTCGTGAAGGCGCGCATGTTGAAAGTTTGACGATCGTGAATTTCGGAAAGCTTCCGAACTTTTTGTTTCGCCAAGCGCACGTCATGCCGCATCTTGCCGGTCTCTAGACTCCATTATCTCCTGTTCATTACTTTCCTTCTATGATATTGAAAACTTTCTGTTGAAGACACAATGTTTCGAAAGCCTAATCGGAACTAGAATGTGATGAACATTTGCCTAACAACAAGGCAATGGACTCCCGATAGGTCCTGGTCAACATGAAGCAGGACGTTCAGATTAACGAATGCAAACACGATAGGAGCACAAAATTAAAAGAGTGTAGTTGTTGCAAAAAGACCCACTAGTATTGACTATCCTTAAAATTTTCCTAGTAATCATAACCCAGTATCCCGATCCTCACGACGCGCCCTTCTGACCCACATGCACAGTCACCGATTTTTACCATCTCCCGTCTTACAAACACTTCCTATAGTCCTCATAATATGGAAGACCGCCTACTCGCATCAGCATATCTGCACCATATCAATTGATAAATCTTCAGCAACATGTTACTTACCTTCACATCCCTCCTGAGTCCAGCCGGCCCAGATCCAGCATTCCCATGCGGGTACCCAGTCCCACTTGTCGTAACCATTATACCCTTTCCTTCCGAGGGCTGTGCAATGTACGCTGAAGCGATCACTGCCTGTTACGCCCCGTCTACTCGTGTCGCTCAAGGGTGTAATATAGCAACCATGCGGGACGGATTTGAGGGCATCGGAATTGAGCCAGCACCAGTTGTCGGCGCGGGGCAATAGATCGGTGATAGCCTCAGCAGAGGGGTTGGAAGACGTAATAGGTGATGCAATTGCAGCCAGTGGAAGAAGGGCGATGACAGATACCGTCAGCTTCATAATGGTATGTGTAACAAGTTTGTAGTAGGTAACTTCAGAGGATTTTGATATCGTTGTTGAGATTTGCTCGAAGCTGACCGTTGTCAGATTTTTATGTTCCTCCTTCTCTCAATGCATAGTCTTTTCGAACCATCACAAGATTCAAATTCCCCGCTCATCTCTCGCCACCCTTGGCAGCTGAGGTTCGAGTAGGAAAGCTGATACTGTTTCGCATCAGCAAACAGGAAGATTTGCCAGTATTCTTGGCAGCTGAGGTTTCGGTCCCAGGGAACGTGGAGAAATGTGTCCAGGCATACTTATTATGACTATCGTGAACCAGATTGTGTTTCTAAGTTCAACATCGTCTGAGCTGATAGCGTTCGGAGATGGCATATATTACTAGCCTTCTAACCATGGTGATTAATTCGAAGAAGACGAAGATCTTGGATCTCGAGTGGATTGATATAATATCTGTAGATTGCGGATAAAAGCGTATAGCAAGCCACGTATATCAAAACTACCTTCTCCAACTATACGGGTAAGCGGAGATGTTCGATATATGGTTGTCAGTGTTCTCCAAAGGCTATTCAGAATCAGAAGACCTGGTAGGATATTGGTATGTTCTACCATGGTACACATATTTACTCCGCTCTCGAATATGGCTCGGGTGATCCATTGAGGCACGCAGCTGATCCGCAGAATCACACCAACAACCGAATGTTCAGACATAGAAGATATTGGCATTAATAATTAAGGCTAATCGAAGCACCGCTAAATTACAAGAAGCAATCTAATCACAAATCCGTTCGTACAGCATCTATATACACAAATGTCCAATTGCCCTAATAGTCCTTCACGTGTACAACAACCTTACCCTTCACCCTGCCAGTCTTCAGCTTCTCGTATGCCTTGGGGACCTCCGAGAACTCCCATGTAGAGTCCACGATGGCGCGAAGCTTGCCTTGCTCCATCCATGCTGCAAGCTGCTCAAACACTGCGGTACGCGGGTTGCCATCAACGAAAATGTATTCCCTCTTTCCCCAGTTAAGGAGGCTGGTCAATTTGTTGCCAAAGAACTGCACTGCGGCGCCTAGATTCATGCCGATACCGACTTGAATGAACTTGCCCTCTGGACGTAGGAACGCGCTTGAGACCCGGTATAAGTTTGCTGGTGCTCCGACATTGTCCAGAACGAGATCGAACATCGTGCCGGTATCTTTTAGTTGTTGGATGATAGGGCCCGTTGTATAGTCTATCACCTTATCTGCTCCCAAGCTCTTAACCAGTTCGATGTTCTTCGTCGAACAAGAGACTGTAACGTGATAGCCGAGTATCTTGGCGATTTGTATCGCAGCCACACCAGTTCCTCCCGAGCCACCATTGATGAAGACCTTGTTACCGGGTTTAGCATAAGGTTCTAGTCCGGCGTATACTGTCATGCCCGTGCTCGCGATGGCCGCCATATCATCTCCCTTCAAGCCTTGCGGCACCTTTGTCAGCAAGTTGTGCGGCACAGGCACGTATTCTGCTAGAGCACCATGCTTCGCTCCTGGAGTAAGACCACCGTATACTATGTCGCCTTCCTGGAAGCCTGCGACGTTGCTGCCGACTTTCACGACGCGTCCATATATCTCTAGTCCGGGTGTAAGACCAGAGAAGACCATGCGCGTTATTAGGCCAAGTTCGAGGATCTTGTAATCAATTGGGTTGAGGGCTGTCGCATGGCTCTCAATAAGAACTTCGTCTTTCTTGATGGCTGGTATGGGAAGGCCTGACGAAGGAATGGAAAGGTTCTTCTCCATAGGTCCAGACGCGGAGTTGAATTGCCATCCGCGCATTGTGGTCGCCATTTGGAAGATGAAAGAGATGTTGTGTAGTTGAGGTAGGGTAGAGAGTAACCGTTGTTGGTTGAAGATTCACTAAGATAGGACAGAATTGTGTGTGGTTTATTTGATTGAATTGTATTTGCCAAATTTGAGTGTTGATGATGTGCAAAAAAGGATGATGGTGTTGTTGCATATATACTTAGTCTCACACCACCATACACGTGTATTGGCCTTCATGCCATGGCCTTTGAAGCATTACAACACCACGGCCGGAGGCAGAAGCGAACAGGGCGAGCTTTGTCAGCTCCATGATTGACAACTAAAGAGGTATCAAGGACCGAAGCCGAGCGACTATGACATGGAGATTGCGACGATAGCTACTGCAAGTAAGCAGCCTTGTTTGATCGCGATTCGGGCGTTCGCAAGAGCGAGGGGAAGCTCACGTAAGACTGTCAGTGACTAATGGTCAATGCTGATAACGCTAGCCGAAACCGGCTAGAAGCGGATAAATGCGAGGCTTGCATCTATTCGATGAAGTACCACCAGTAAGAGCGATGGAGGACTAGTGCGGGTGAAGATGCATATGTGGCGTCCTATCACTACAACACCTGATACTGCCTACCCGCGTGGACCTGGAAGGCTAAGTATGCCACGTCGAAGACTTCCTTTAGCCTTCTACACCCGAAGTTTCTCCTTTCTATTGTCGTTCGCTCACAGCTATGCAAGATGACAGGACAATCACTTTCCAAGAGATCTACGGAGTAGTGAAGTACTTTTTACCGCAATCGAAGAGGTCGAACGCACTGCAGTGGTGGAAAGCTACGGGCTGAGTTCACTCCGCCTTCGCTTTTTGGAACCTTATCCTCAGAGCGGATCAAATAATGACTTTGTCCTCACGGCTGCTGGCGACCATGGGCGGAGCAAGGACTACGTCGCGGTGTCTTACGTGTGGGCTCATGAATGATTTCTTGACGGGATAAGGATTCCTAATTTACTGCATTTGGGACCTTTCCGACCCGAACAAGCGACCATAACAACTCAGATGTCCATCACTTGTATTTCATCTCGCCCTACGATTTTCTTAACGCCGAGTCTGTCCACGAATTTGGATCGATCAAGAGTGTATCGATCAAACAAACTCAGCTGATGTTGAACAGCATCTGAAAATCATGCACCGAGCTATCGCTTTAGTCGATGGAATTTAGCTGTACTATCCACAACCACGAACCTAGATCCACCTAGTTTGTCAATTACGGACTACCACGATATTGAGGATTCGCGCCGAAACTCTCTTGCGCGAAACCATCTACGTGCCTTCGTTTTTTGACCAATGGTTCACCCGTACAGGATGACTATACCACTCCACTCGAACTGTGTAAACTGCTTGCGGAAGTTCGTATCATTGTCTGTAGGACATTTCACGAATGACATGGTGCCGGCCGTATGGTGTAGCTGCTGCCAGAAGAGCCTACTATCGCCAATTCCTATGATATGTCTCTGTCGACAGATATGATAGAATACGATCTTGAGTTAGAAGGCCAAAAAGAATCATTGATATTTTTGCAACCTGGCAGCATATTTTTCAAGGATTAGATATTGCGGATGGAGATCCCCGAACGTCCCCCGGGCTCTTTGGACAGCTTGTAGCGGTATGAAGATGTGCGAAAACTGTATCTTGTCAGATCCAATCCAGACCTTAGCCAATGTGTGCGAGCTGCAGTGGAAGTTGAACACTACACTGTTGAACACTCAGACACAAAGTTACTGCACCTACTTACTGGCTCTTATCATGGTAAACACATGCCCGGATCTCAGCACCCGAGCGCGTCAATATCAAGTATGGGGAGATCGCTTCATGGGTAGAAACATCGAGGCTGTCATGGGGTAGTTGAGTAGTACACCGCCTACTTCTCACGAGCGTCGGTCGGGTTCACCTCTTGTATCGTAGCTAGCCGCATAAACCTTCTTAAACATTATACCACATAACATGGTTCATCCTTGAACTGCAGTAAACCAACCATATGTGCATTTGCAGCTATTATGATAGGGGTCTCAACCTGAGCCTCTGTGAATGGGGAGGCTCTCCTGTTGTTGCGGTAGCGACAGGTCGATTAGCCCCTTGAACTACACTTCTGCGAGGCTTGTTCAAACCTCGCCGCACCTCAATGATATGGGATATTCAAATCCACGACAATCTACCCAGTGAGAGAGAGCTTCACCCATACCTTCGTCGACCGTTCAAGCATGAGAGCTATCGCATGAGAGAGAGTTTTATCGACTACGACAGCTGCATACAGTGAATAAGAGGTGTTTGGGAAACACACCTGCATTGAGGTTGTTGTATTGATTTATTCGATCGCGTTGTGTTGCGCTGCCTGAACATTAACATTCCTCCTCTGTAATAATAGGTGTCTCACATTGAGGTAGTGCTTAGAAGGGAGGGTCGTGTATCGCTGGAAGCCAGTTGCTGTAACTATGAAACCGATGCGCCTATTGCTCACTACCCGCGATTGAACGCTTCAAGACGGTAAAGTGGCTGACGCGTCAACGCCGTAACACCACATGTAAACTGCACCCCACACCTCCAATTACCACCAACGTGTACTAGTTCATACTGGGAATCTTCGTCCATCGGGACCACTTCGAGGCTCCTGGCATTCAAAATTTCATGATTTCTTTCCAATCACACCAGCCAGCGCACCTTCAGCAGCTTTCTTCAGCAACTCCCGATCCTCATCGCTCATATGATCCACCTTCTCAACAAGCAGCTTCTTTAAAAACATGTTCTCCTTTCTTAGCCCGTCATTCTCAGCTTCGAGCTTCTTGGTTCGGTCTTGCATCTCGCGACTGGTCTCCATGAGCTGCATCTCGCGTTGCTTTTTCTTCTGGCGGAAACGTGCCGAAGCAGCTTGATTGCGTTTTCGTTTATCTTCCTCCGCTTCGACGACAATCGGATCGGTCAGGAGACTTGCGTTGGTGGGGTCGGGTGATGTGGCAGATGATGTGGATGTCGCGTTGCTGTCGGGGTATGGCGTGCGATAGGCGTTGATGTTAAAGCCTTGTGTAACTGGAGAAAAGCTCTGGAGATCATCGAAGCCAATCTGAAGTGTAGCGTCGTGCTCGTAATGCTGCGGGATGTGTCTGGTCATGGTCGGCATCGTGGGCGAGGTGTATTGTAGGCCTCGAGATGACGTTAGTGACCATGGTACGGAGGGAACAGAAAGCAACCCAGAATACGCGGCAATCGCTGCGTATTTGATCGATGGAACTCCTTGATGCAACCACCAGCGTCTGTGCACAGCGTGCATATACACCTCCCTAGGCAGGCATACAGTCGTCGCAAGTCCCATCACCGTGATCGATCACGTGCAGCTAGCGGGAGCACGCCATCCCATCCCGAACAAACGTCATCTAGGCCCGGCAACTCAGAGACACGGGAATCGCGTCCACAAGCAGGAACGGGCCTAATGAGAAGTACAAGGAATTCGTTGAGGATGAAGTACACGAAAGATGATCAAATGAAGATAAATAGAGGGGTTGCGCTTACCTGGAGCCGACACACCGCTGCTGTGCAACGCATATGCAAAGTGCTGATTTTGCGTGATATCATCCTGGGTTGGAATTTGCAGCGGTTGTAGGTGCTGTCCACCGGGATGATATTCTTGGTCGTGGTAGAGGTTGGCGGCGTCGAGGATATCGAAGAGATCATGTCCAGAGGAACTCCCACTCGCATGTGCGTCGATGAAGGTCGGCTGCCCAAAAGCTTGCTGACGATAAGTTTCCGACATTATTCTCCATCGGCACCATGCGTTCTCGCGCAATTGCGTCTTTCCTTTTGTCGTTCGTTTTCTGATCGTCGGTCTCAAGGTCTGGGTGTATGTTCGTTGTTGAGCTTCGCGCCGGCCTTTTTGGGGGATCGAGGATTGACGTTCCTCCCTGCACGAGCGATGGTGTGCCGCCCTATAAGAACCACACAAATGCCCACCGGCATGCGCTTGTGGGCAGCGCACCCCACTGCCAGAATTGCCCTCTGGCAGCCATGGAAATGGCGATCGCGTCTGATTGCGCCATATTTCTCATACGATTGCCAAAGTCCTCCACGCTTTTACCTAAATCGCCCCGCGGGACAGTGTCGAATTGCAAATGCGCAATACTCCCGGGCTTTGCTCGCGTGCCCAGAATCGCGACGACCAGCGCTTCAGTGGGGCGAGATATGCATGAGGCGTCAGTGGGTTACAGTGAGCTTGCAGCCATGCTCGACCCGAAGTGTCGGGAAAAACCCAGGCTTCCCAAAACGCAGTCCTGCTTTGCCTCTCATCGATGCGCTGCAGCCGGCAGTCTCTTCGGTACATTGTTTACCACTGTCCAAAACTGTCTTATCCCGTGCTGTATCCCAGACGTGTCGCGATGTATGCGTTGGTAACAATCGCACCACTGTGTCAGGTGAGTCGTCAATACACAATGTCTGCGCTGTTTGCAGTCGTAGGTCTATAAAAGAGTATTTCCAAGGTGCCGCGGTATGGGCATGAAAGTTTTGCGCCGATGGGAAGGATCCAGAACGTGACACATCCCAAGATGAAGACTCAGACACACTATGCGACACTTGGGCTGGCCCCGAACGCGCCCCAGGAAGTCGTATGTGCGGCGTATAAAGCGCTGGCATTGACATACCATCCTGACAAGACCTTGGAGCTAGCCGCTGTTGAGCGTGCTGCGCGTGCCACTGTGTTTAGTAATCTTCAAGAAGCATTTGGCGTATTGAAAAATCAGAACCATAAGGCCGCCTACGATGCTGAACTGGCCAGAAAAGACAGCGAGATCGTCGACGAAGTGTTTGCCTTCCACCATCATGCCCAGTCTACGCTCACGATACAGGAGCAGAACAGCTCGATGCGCGCTCGAGCACGTCAACAACTTCAACATTGGAAAGTCCTACGCGAGAAGCGACAGGAGGCTGAGGCATGTTGGAGCATGGCTGAGCTCGAGAGCCTGGTCAAGATCTGGGGGGATCTCGAGAACGAGAATGCAGCCGATCCCCCGATGAAGGCTCGATGTGCCATTCTCTCTCACGAATACTTGATGGAGATCGATCGTCGCGAGAGGGACCATGGAGAGTCGTTGGAAAAGGCGTCAACACCTGGTCACACAATAGTGACACTCACAACGCCGGTGGCTGTGGCTCATCGTCCAGTGACGCCAAGTGCGTCTACCAAGTCGACCACGGTCGTACCTGCACAATCGCCGAACACACCGGATGTGGCCGCGCGATGTACCTGTTCTGATATCTCCTCTACGGTTACGCCATTCTCTCGCTTGAATGCGCGAGCCGCCGAACGTAAACGGGCCGAAGAAAAGCGGGCTGAAGAAGCTAAGGCCCGAGCCGAAGCACGCAAGGGTAGGAAAGCTCAAATTGAGGCAGTCAAGCAAGCCCAACTTGAAGAAAAGGCAGCCTTTGTTCGCGCCGAAAATGAGAGGCAGAAAGCGCTAGCGGAGGAGCAAGCCCGTGCAAAAGCTGAACATATCGCGAAGGTTCGAGCCAAGGTGCGCGGGGCACCATTTAGCATCAATACGGTTGATGATGATTTTGTCGCTTCTGGAGTACAAGAGGATTCGTTGTCGCATGGGGTTGATGCCTCCGATAAAGGTGTGCAGGAAGACTTCAAGCTATAAGCGACAAATGTTTCGGTGAGCGTGGTCGTGAATATGAGAACCTTCGTAAATGAATGCACTGCAGAGCGTGGACAATAGCGCGCGATAAACATCCGTCGAAACATCCTAAGCGAGTGGGTTTGGTAGGGGCTATACGGTGTATCGCATGGTGACACGTATGCCGTGGACGTGAGTTTCCCAACCTCTTCTCTGTTTCGTAAATCAGTCAATGTCAACATTGTTGCTACAGAGTAGCTCACCTTAGCTCTTGCCCATACGCATATCCAATCGCCATCTTGCAGAGAGTCAATGAAGTTCTCGCCACGTCCGGCCCCTTCGTTACCCTCCCATGTTGGATTGTTTCTGCAGCCCCAGACAACGCGATACCGACGAATATAATCGCCTTCAAATTTCGACACAGCTCTTGCGACCTCGTTGCCTTGCAAATACCAAGCATGTTGTCCTTCAATACCCATTGGGCATGAAGAATCCTCATGCAAGAATGTCATAGCCTGCATTTCGTCGCAGTGCAATCTCTGCGGCTCCGTAGTCGACGAAGGACGCGGTGCATTGCTGAAACCTAGGTCACCGCATATGTCTTCTATAACGCTATGGATGTCGCGTCGTGGGTACATGTGTTCTTCGAAGTTATCAGCAACGATCTCATTGCCCTCCTCATTGATCTGGAGACCCGGGCGCACGATAGAGACCTCAAACCAAGAAGAGGTATTGTATGTGCCAATCGTATTCTCTGTGGTCCAGCCTTGGTCGTGGCTGACAACCAAGAACTCCATCTCTCGGAGTTTGCTTGTTTCGCGACGCGCGATTTTGCGCTTGTCAATGGGTATCCTCAACAAGGGGTGCGCAGCGGAGAAGTCGTCAGAGAAGTCTTCGTCAAGGAGCACTGTAGTCTGGTCATTTTCATGAACGTGTTCGACCCAGTAATGGGCCTTGTCCAAAATATCGAGGACGAGTTCATTTGGGAGTCCTAGGCGGTGATGGAGGAGGGCACGGGTGCGATGAACATCACGGCGACGAGGCACGAAGGGCGTCATGGAGCTGCTTTATTAATTGGCGCTTTCGGTCGGTCGCAGAGCAGTACGATTAGGGTTACGAGGTTAAAGAGGGTCGCTGTGGCATGTGTGCGAAGACACCCAATGGCAGATGGGCTAGGCGAGAAAACCGGTTTAGTGTCGCCCGCAACGTTGTCCCGACGAGCCGAGACTTACCACACGGATCGGCATGCATGCCAGCTGTCATTCGGTCCTGCTGCCCTTGTTTAGCTAAATTTTTATTTGGACTTCATAAAAGCGAATATGCAATACAGGTTGACGTTCGGTGGCATGTTGACCAGCCGGTGCGGTAGTCATGCTGCAAATAGGAGAGCTTCAGTGACTCACCGCAAGAATCGCACTAACCACAATATATTACTCTCATTTTCAACACATCGGTTTGAGCACTACTGTCCTTGCACGTCGAGTGATTATATATCGTGCGTTATGTGTCTCGAATTGTGTCGTGCCAGCCTCGGCCAAGTCGATGTGGGCGCGACAAGTCAGCAAGTCCGGGAATAACTCGTTGTCTTCTGCAGTCCGTATACAGATTATCATAGTATAGCTCAGAGATAATCAAATTGATGCACAAAACAGTCCCATTGCATAAAAGGTAGCCAAGAGACTCCTAGCTGTCTTCGTTTCTTTCTGCAATTATCTATATGTGGTTGTATCTCTCAACCTCATGCATTCCAATCCGTTCCTCCGTCTTTGCAAGTCACTATAGCCCAACATGCTTTGTGAGCCCGACGAAGACGAGGGAGGAGATTGTCCTGGAAGCCGTTCTTAACGAATTCATTGAAGATTCCATTGTTGTCTGGTGACGCGAGGAGTATACAGAGGGCGCTGAGGATGGACTGTCTTGTCGGCGGTTTATGGGGTCGGTGCGCGAACAGCGTCAAGTTGTCGATAGTTCAGAAACCTTTGGTACATTATCTTCGGTTTTGTGTTGTGGATGTTCCAAACTCTCAAAGTTTCCCGCCATGTCAAATGCGTCATCAGGCTCCTCGCAGCATCGCCCGTTTGTTATTCTTCTCTTGCGTCGACTTCGCATATCAACACTCCTCCGTCACCACCACCTAACCTCTTTCACAACAACCGCCGTAGTTGCACACTCCTTGCTATCCAAGCCGATGCCTTCGTACTTTCACGAGTATCCAAGCGTCTGGCGACAGTGAATGATTTCGATATTCTATGGGTAGAGTCTTTCCGAAGTTTCACTGTCCCCTCCATGCTCCGATCGCATGCCTTCGACTCGAGGCAGCTATAAATTTCAGAGTCTCGAAAAAATGGCTACAAGCGCCTGGGAGTAGGTCTCGCAGTATAAAATCCCTTATGAGTAGGTTACTAACAGCTTCCACAGCCTCTCAATCGCAATCTCTGCCACCGTCAAATCCACAACGGCCCCTCAAACCGCCTCTTCAGACGCCTCTGCTAACCACCGCCGAGATGTCGCAGAACAAAGCCAATGAAGCCACGCACAAACTATGGCTAGACAAGAAGCGCGAAGGACGCGCAAAGATGCGGCTCTGCAGCGACATGCAACGCAAAATCATCGCTCTTGTCACGAAAGCGACTTACTAGGAGAATGTGCACACTTTCCTCCGAACATGCGGACGTAGCGCGCAAAACTGCGCCCGCATTGAGGAAGCTGCAACACACCATGTACATACCTTGGAGAGTCGAGACTCTACGTCCCTAAAGTACTTGCCGTCGAAAGATCAATGACTTACTGACCGTTCACGACAGGCGAAATGGTTCGACCAGGCTTTGGAGAAACACCACGATGTCTGAAAGCAGGTCGACAAGCTCAAGATCATTACCGCCGCCCACAAGAGGCTCCAGGAACAGCTCGGTACTCCTACCACCGACGACGGATACGTTAATTGCAGCATCCGCGCGGAGCTAGGCAAGCAATTCTTGCTGCTCGACCGCGAGCTGGATTCGACTACCAGCATTCGACACTACATGGACGAGAACACGGGAGGGTCGTTGCTATTCGCGAACGAGGAGTGGCGACCGTAGGCACGTTTTGCCTGGAAGTCAGGGACGACGGATACTGAAAAGCTTCGATGTACCGGCCGGTACATGCTGTGGATGTCTGGCTCGGACTCGTCTATGACCAACTGGCCTTCCAGCAAGCTACTCCTGTCCTACAGCTACAAGCGCCTTAGCCCTTTCTTGCCCTAGCTCTTCGCTGACTTCGAGGTTCCACGTCCGGGTTAGCCGGGTTGACACTGGAAGTAGATGGTAAAATGGCTGTGGCACCTGGACAGCTGCGTTGCAGCGCAAAACTATACTGGATACTGTAGACTGGATACCAAAGGACAAAATGGGAGAGTTTAAAGGATAACAATGAAATAACACTCATACTTTTGCAGACGTGTGTATTTACTCAGAAACGAGAAATGTAAGGCACACGCCTATGCTATACTGTATCGTGAGATCTCAGTGATGTTCATGCATTTGTACCGTGCACTCTATGAGACATCCCGGAGATCCTCGAACGGCTATTGTAACAATAGAAGGTGGGTGTGATGCCGCTGAAGTCGAGCAAGCTGGGGAGTGGCGGTCCAGTATCATGTGCGACATTTGTACTCATCATCACCAAGTTGCAGTAATGCTCTTCAAGGAGAGCATGTCACAAGATAGCAATGGCGCATTCGGAGGATACCAAGCCTGCTGCTTCGTCGTAGTCTATAGCCACCTGATCTTGGGCTCCGCAGCCTGCAAGCTGCATCAAAAGCAGTTCTTTTAATGTACCCTTTGAAGCTCCCAGGTGCGTGCTTGTCGCAAAAGCAGCTTATCCTCAAGCAATATAGCCCACTGAGTTGTATCTCTCACAAGGCCGACCTTTGGAAGGCAGAAGAGCAGAATCTATAGATATATCCCACGTTAGTGACTTTGCTGTTGCGGTGGAAACATTAAAGAGTGAGTGCGGGCATGGTACAGTCAGCCCGTTCCTCCGCAACAGCATAAGAAATTACACAAGCACAAAAGCCTGCACCTACCTCTGCGCCTGCAAGCCTTATCTGAACTTGTACTGTATGATAGAGTGCTTGAGAAAACAGGAAAAAAAAACTGTATTGGTTTCAACAGTGGGAATTCCACCCTCCATGGGACTCGAACCCATGGGCCGAAGCCCGAGTGTTTCCTAGATAAGCACCTGTTAGCACGTTCTTTCAAGATTCAGTGGCATACAAAGCCGCCACTCGGCTACCTAACCCCCCGCCCGGGGCTCCGGCGAAAGTTTGATCAATTTGTGGTGTATATATATCCAAAGGACTTTGAGGTTGTCCAGAGGCCTTGGTTGATTTTCGAGGCACGAAGGGGTGCGTGCCTGTGCGGAGATGACGTTGGGCAGGGCGGCGGTAACGAGTGCAGAGGCTCCCTCACCTCGTCCGCAGCGACGAGAGGGTCAGGGTCTACTAGTAGGGCAAAGCCTCGCTTAGGCATTGGATGCTGCTCGTCGCGTTGTGCCGGTCCTCGCAACTCGATTTTGATGTTTTGCAGCATATGCAGCATCTGAGGCAATTCACACGATCGACCACGACATGCCAACCTCTAATAGCAGAAGCGAGATTGCTTCGACGACGCACATCCCTTGGAGTATCTTGCAACTGTCCTGATGCATGTCACTCCAAATTGAGTGGACACTGTCGCGTGCATCGATCGTCCGAAGCAAGTGGTAATTTTGATCGCAATTTCTGATCCTCGATACTTCTCGGTTCTATGTCCGTAGTCTTGAGCCTCTAAGCTCTTTGATATGCGATGAGGTGTCCTTTCTTTTGTACCAGTGTAAGTCTATGGCAGTGGGTCGATGACCGGGCTCGATCTTGCTAAGCCGTAGATCTTGGGTTTGCGTAGTATATATACTTCATGTACTGAAGAGAACATTGTTCTAAAGGTGTGTATCCGTATCGTGACACCGGTCGAGCCAGGCGGTGCTTAATGTGAGGGTACATCTCACCCCTGAATCCATACGGCACGCGTCGGTTCGGCGAGAGTGATAGAAAACCTATTCGCAAAGCCGTTGAAATGATGCAGATAAGGTTGGGGATCCGCCGCGATATACTCTCGGCTTCAGGGTAAATCGATGTAGACACGGGCCGCAATCAGCCATTTTCGATAGGAATACTCTCCGACGATGAGCGACTGATCGACGACGTTGCGTGTCGTATACACATCCTCCCAAGATACTCCTGACCAACCCGCCCCTGGTGCAGTTGATAGGTTTGGATCTTGCTATAAGGATGCATTGAATGCTGACAAAGGGTCTCCGGAGTGAATAGTTATATGTTCGAAAGCACTCGGAAGCTTGTAGACATAATTGAGCTTCATTATTCAGTAAAAGCAAGCGGCGCGCATCAGAACTGTCTTGTGTAGAGGATGGGTTCGCATACCATTTCTGATCGTGCCGCTTATTAGCAGTGTATTGAGGCCGCATACGGTCCAAGCGCTGACATGCTCGTCGCTCCAATGTCCAGAATTTGGCGTTCGTTATTCGTCATCTCCGTCAATGCTGTCACCAACGGCTGATTTCAAGCAGTCGACTGTCGATAGCCGCATTCTTGTACATTCGCCGTCGACTCTATGCATACTTCACAACGCATTGCATACCGGCCCCAGCGATGCATTGCTATCCGGCATAACGACACGAATCTGGTGAACCGAAGCAACACCTTGAGTTCGATGCCAACGCTCGCTTTTATCGGTCTTGGAGCGGAGTCTGGCTATCACAGATCCACCACAAGACGTAAGCCTCTCTTTCTCAGCTGCTGCATCGTAGCGTTGTCGTTACATGATCGCGGTCATCCAAACTTCAATAGCGGACATAGCCGTATCCCAGCAACCACTGAAGCTGAATAACATTATCATCCTGCTGCACGCTTTCGCATGCGCTGCAACGTTCTGAACTCAATCTACAGAGGATGTCGCTGGGAAGCAGGCATCAGAGCACTACGCCCATACACGCATCTCTTCTGAGGCACACGCTGAAAGTC